ATTGGCTATCACTGGTGATAAGGGAGAACCCATGGGGGTACCCTCATTTTGTTTGTAGAAGGTGCCATTCCAAGCTAAGTAGGTATTGGTGAGGCAGTGTCTAATCAGCGCAGGTGTATCGGGGTCTAGTCCATGTTGTACCAAATTTTCAATGATTTCAATGGTGTCAGGTACCGAGACCTTGGTGAACAGGGAGACCACATCGAAGCTGACAAGGATCTCGTCAGGGGACAGTACAACGTCTTTGACCATAGAGACCAAATGAGCTGAGTTAAGTACTGCTGAGGAGGTCTTGCCAGTGAAAGGTAGCAAGGTATCTGACAGAAAACGTGCTAGCTTATAGGTAGGGGAGTTGATCGTGGATACGATGGGTCGTAGTGGAGTGCCTTCTTTATGAATCTTGGGGAGACCATAGAATCTAGGGGGTCTTGCAGCAGAAGGTTTTAAGGAGGAACGTTTAGTTGGTTTGATTAGGGAGGTCGAACTTGTGATGATCTTGTTGGTTTTTATAGTTAGGCTATTAGTAGGGTCATTTTTAATTTTTGAGTAACTTCCATCGTTGAGTAGGTTCTGGATGTTGTTGTTGTACGAATCTTTATCCATAATTACAGTAGCGTTGCCTTTGTCGGCTGAGAGGATGACTATATCACCTGGGCGTGCTGTTTTCACTCCAACGCTGTCCTCTGGACAGTCCAGTCCCTTCACCTGATGAAGGCCACTTGTGTTGTGGCCGAAACGTCGTGATTTTTTGTTATTTTATTTTTACCTACGTGACTTTACCGAATAGAACCAAAGAGTATGCAGGCTGACTCCCCTCTCATTGCCTCCTGTAGTCACCAGTCTACTCGTACTGCAGGCTGACTCCCCTGTCGTTACCTCCCGTGGCCACTAGTCCACTCGTACTGCAGGCTGACTCCCCTGTCATTACCTCCCGTGGCCACTAGTCCACTCGCACTGTAGTTTGACTCTGCTGTCATTACAAATGCAAAAATGCGACGGTGAAAGTGCGAAGCGTGTCATTTGCGCTCCTGACACAGTGGGGACAGGGTCATAGTGAGAAACACGGAAAGGAGGATAGTGAGACATTGGGAAAGGAGGATAGTGAGACTGCGTGCGTGCAACAGTAAGACACTGAACATGCGACAATACATCAATGCGACATTAAGATTGTGACTTTGCTTAACAGTGCGTTCTTTCATTCAATGCAGTGTTTCTAAAGCTCAGATCGGGGTACCATATATGACATGCACTCCTATCTAATCTTCACTTCGTCATGGGTCACGGCCACTGGGCAACAAACTTTGTGCGATGAAAGTTCCAAGGTTTTATTTTACAAGCGGCAATATCAGAGTGATGGTCATGGCACGGTGCCCAAGGTGGAGTTTAGAGGGGTGGGTTGGGTGAAATGCAGATTATCGGTGTAAGTTTTACCTTTAGAACATTTTCGTGGACTTATTTATGCATTTAAGAGTGTGGTTTGAGTTTATGAATTTGACATCTAGCTACATATGTATTCTTTGGTTCTTTCGGTAAAGTCACGTAGATAGAAAAATTATAATAAAAGTAAAAAAAACTACGACGTTTCGATCACAACACAAGCGATCGTCTTCAGAAGGACCCGATTTTTACTCCTGAAGACGATAGCTTGTATTGTGATCGAAACGTAGTTTTTTAAATATTTTTTTTCTACTTTTATTTTTCTATCTACGTGACTTTACCGAAAGAACCAAAGAATATGAATTCCTGCAGTCACGAAAGTTTTAAGTCAAAATTTAGCTACATATGCTACGGGTCCCGCAATTTCAAGGGCCGCGCGCTAAATGCTTTCAAGCGATCAATTCCGGTTCAGTGATTCTGCACTTGCTCTATTACTATAGTACTATACTGCCTTCAACTTTTATGAACGACTGGGTGTTTAAGGTTACCGATTTGTCGTATTATCTGGCTGTATAGCAAATGAAAAAATACAATTACTTTACTATGCAAGTGAAAAATTTGTGTTTGAATATTTATTCATTTTATTTAGGGCCCCTTTATAATATTTGATGATCTAAGGCAACCAGCTCCAGAAAAGTGTCTGATATAGAGCCTGTGTTCCATAGTTCGATGCCCGCTCACGCCCAACATCAGTGAATGAGTATCTGGTGTAGCGGTGTGTAGTAAACATCGCCACTGGGGAGACAAAGGTGGTCGTGCGTGATGCTGGCCACTCACTTCCTCGTGTGCCGCGTCAGCCTTCATAGGTGCTCGCTAACAGCACTTGCCCCAACAGTCTGTTAAGGCTACACGGGTGATCTTTGTCTCATCCAATACAGAACTCTCACCTGAACCGATATAGAATATTTGTATGATCGTGTAAGTCTTCATTATTAAATAGTGTTCTAATTAACGATTTTCACTTTCTCGTCTTGTCTCGGGGTCTTTTTTTTAAATCAATTGTAAGACCTCACAAATTTCATAAATCTCGCCAGCAGAATACACTCAGAATTAAGGCAGTTTGCCACCAAGTCTAAGGTAACTAACTCCATTTCTCTACATCACCATGTGTTTGACAATGAGGGGGTCATTGTCTCTCCCTTCTCCAAAAGCATATGTTTGCTCGTTTAACACGTAGGCTTTCACGACCATTATCAATACAGGTTTTTTTTTTGTTAGATCGCGTAAATATATAAATGTGTCGTTAAACCTGCCACCACCCAACACAGCAAATTAGTAAGGTTTGTCACGTAAACAGAACATGCCGATTCGTTACTAGTACAGCACACCGGTGTGTTGGAGAGCAAAGCCACAACATTTACAATCTTATTGTTCCATTGTGATCGTGGTCCATCATTACATCAAGCAGTTGCCACCAAGTATAGGTGGTTACACAGTTGTGATGATTATTAACATATGTATGTAAAATGGTATATGTACTTTAAAATACTCTCAGGAGCAGCCATCACATTTTTTATTGTTTTTTTGCGAAAAGCTATACGCACGCCATTCAAAACTTCGTCTTATCTGATACAGTACCCCCCTTTCATCCATTGATTCGATGGTAGATACCAGCTTGAAAATCTTTGGGACTTGAAGGTCTGGCTTCTATCCACGACCCCTAGATACCTAGGAATGGCATCATCGTGCACCGGGCTACCACCGAAGGACACTTCAAGGGTGGAATCTGCTGCATTATTGCTCAGGTGTAAAGCACTTGTGGTAGTATTGGAGGCACACAAGCAACCTCCCCTTTGCCCACTTCAGCAAATTGTTTATTTGCTGTGGTTGTTTCCACCTGATGACGGTCGCTTGTGTTGCGTCCGAAACGTCGTGATTTAATTTATTTTGTTTTATACCTACTACGTGACTTTACCGAAAGTACCAAAGGGTATGGATCCCTGCAGTCACGAAAACTTCAAATCTCGATTGTATCACTCAATTTACAAACGTTCGGTTTACAAAATTTCGCGTGAACGCAATTGACAAATTACGGACACCTTTCGACGAACGAGATCGAATTTCCGCGTGAACGAAATCTCACTCGGGCACGCGCCGTGAGATCATCAAACAAGAAGCACCCTGGAGGCTGCGTCCACCATCCACGACGGCGTCACGGTACCCCTGCAGTGCAACGGTAACGCAGCCACTTCACCTTGCCAGTCATTCCAACGTGCAGATCTTTGGGCGAATTCCCTGAAGAGGCAAATTGTTTTTGTTTTAAATTAATTATTATTCAATAGTTTTTATACCGTATTTGTGCTCATTATTATATTATTATTATTATTTGTATTGGAAAGTCATTCATAAACATATTGTATATTCTTGGTTCTTTCGGTAAAGTCACGTAGAAGGGAAACAATAAAATACTAAAAATATAAGAAAATTTTCTTGTTGTGGTTTTCACGCCTGATGATGATTGCTTGTGTTGCAGTCCAAACGTCGTGAGAATTTTATTGTTTTATATTTTTATTATTTTATTGTTTCCCTTCTACGTGACTTTACCGAAAGAACCAAGAATATGAATCCCTGCAGTCACGAAAGCTTTAAATAAAAATATATTGTATGTTAAAATGTGACGGTGCTCGTTCCGAGCCTTGAGGAACGGCATTGTTCATAATTCTGTTGCGGCTATGTTTACCGGCCAATTCCGGTCGCTGAGCATTTGCATCGATTAGGTGCATCGGATGATTTTGGCCAACTTCAGCAGCATGCCATGATGCCGAACCTTGTCAGAGGCAGCAGAGAGTTGAATAATTCCTGTGCCAGTTTTCTGTTGACTCGAAACCATCGTTTATGAGGGTGGTGAGCGATCTTTTCACAGCAAATACGGTCAGTTCAAAATCCAGCTTGTTCGGGAGACAGTCGAGCAAGCATTTGGTAAATTCCATCAGCCTGGAGGTGGAGGATAAGACTGGATATTCGTTTGTGGCTGGAAGGCAAGTCCTGCGAGTTTCCAGGTTTTAGAATGGCGATGACTTTGGCTTCCATTATTTCGGGACTTTCCCTGTCCTGTGCATGGCGATGAAGGGGTTTGCAAGCCATTGTTGGCCATATAGACCCAGGTTCTGTAGGAACTTGGGTTCGTAGACCATCATATCCCGGTGCCTTGTTGGACTTTGCGGCCCTAAGGGCCGCTTCCACTTCGGCGACAGTGCATGGTCTTGTTATATGTGTAGCTTGCGGTAGTTAATTGAAGGTGCTGGCAAAGTTGTATCCGGACAGCTTTCTTGGTATGCTTTTCCATCGGTGCCTTTTGAGCAGGACGGCGTGTGGGAAGCAACAGACATTTCTGTGGGTTTTGGTGGTATCTTGCTCTGTTGGTTTTGAGGCACCTAGGTTAGCAACAACTATAATTTTCCATTGCGGTGATTGACGCCAGGTAATTGCGTCAGGGGTACTTTAGCTTTATCATTGTGATGCAAACTAAAATTCGCCGACGAAGCAACAGAGATAAGAGTTAGCAATGCCCCTAATCTCTCCCAGCGACGTGCGGGGGTGGGCCTAGGGGCGTAGTTAGGCGGCGTCAGGGAGTGAACATTTATCCATCTGTAGGCACCTCTACCTGCGGCAGTGATTGTGCCCGTGCGTCTGATGTGCAGCTCTGTGTCGCGGTGTCGCGGCCAAATGGGAGAACGTCAGATGATTTGATCCAACGGAGATAATATTGTAGCAGCATAGGTTTGTAGATATTGATGGGTTTATGTCCAGCCACGTGTAGGCGTTTTGCACACGCGAGTATGCTGTGTGTGTTTTAGAGTTATTACGCTTATTAAAGTGGCTCTGCGAGTGAATCGGTCAGTGCCGGATGAAGATAGTGCGGGGCCTGTAGCATATGTTATATTAAAAACATTTTTTTTACTTGCATAGTAAAGTAATTGTATTTTTTCATTTGCTCTCCAGCCAGATAATACACACATTGCTAACCGTAAACACCCAGTCGTTCATAAAAGTTGAAGGCAGTATAGTACTATAGTAATAGAGCAAGTGTAGAATCACAGAACCGGAATTGATAGCTTGAAAGCATTTAGCGCGGAGCGGGGCCCGTAGCTACATTTGTAGCCACTTTTGTGACAAGCATAATCCGGCACTGGAATCGATCGTGACTTGAGGTAAGAATTCAGTCCTGATTATCGACTTCACTAACAGTATCACCATCGCTGACATCGCCATTGTCATCGCAGACAATAGCCAACATCCGCCTTCATCATATTTACCATCACTAGTATATCTGTGTCATTGTCACTAACATTATCTTAATTTGCATTGTCATCATTGTACGTGCTATGAAGAGCGACCATGTCCCTAGAACGTTGCCCATTATATATTTTTACCTTTTAAGGCCGCAGTATTATTGACAAATATGTTGAGTTGTTTTGTTATTCGTGCTCGTGCGCCACAGCAAGCACAGCACTATCACTCAATAATGTGTTAAATATTCATGAACACCGTCATCACTGACATAATTGCAACCATTATCATACCTGTCGACCCATACGCTTTACCCGTATTCTTGTACAGGGAAATTTAGTTTTTCGGTCCATAAGGCGTACAGCCGTTTCAGTACGGGCAAAAAAACCCATAATTTTTGTCAACTTGTTTGTGTTTCTCCCTTGTGTTGAGGCTTTGTAGGATAAATGTTGTATAAGGGCACAGGGTGACCAATAAGGTCTGAAGTTGTTTGTAATACGGTAGGCACTGATAAGAGGTTGACAAGTATGCATTATCATCACTAAACATCAGTACATCATCACTAACATCCCTAACATTATAATTATTATCGTTATTGCTAAATTGACTTATAACATTGTCAAAACAAACACATCCAGAGGTGGGTAAATTGAGTACCATCTCATGAGGTGCACCGTGCCGTGCAGATATACTTAGAGCTGGGTTCTATGATTATCAAAGTAATCAATTATTATCAAAGTAATCAATTACTTTGATAATTATCCGTGCAATTACTCAACTAATCGGAACAGGAAATGTTTGTAAAAAAAAAGTCTTTCCTCTCGTACCATGTGTGCCGCTGGACGGGAGATGGTAGGCTGGGCTTGGTGATATCATCATCATCGTCAGCAGCAGCAGATGTGTCATGCTGGACATGGCTTGCAAGGGGTTTCTCACCTTTGGGAATCAGAATGCCGGATGCGGCCACCAGTTTAAGTGAGCCCAATCAATTGACTTAAGCAACACATCGTCCCAGCTCGTAGAGAGATTATTGACAGCGGTTGTTGGAATGAGAATGTGCCCTCGTCATGTTCATGTGGAATTTTCACCACGATGTTTGAGACGAGCATTTTTGTAGAGCTTATGGAATATCGTATTGTGTTCTACTGTGTAGCGTTGCATTGTATTATGTAATTACGTATCGTATTATATTGTTATGCTGGTTACTCATTAAACATGGAATGTTGGACTAACGTTGGGCCATGTGCGAACGTTGGCCCACTGTTTTGCATGTTTACTGCGTAACGCTGAAGCGGCTGAAGTCACCTGAATGTATGTCGTGTGTCCCCCCATGTCGGGTATCTTCACCAACCCAAACTGACGGTGAAGCTCCGTCACATATCTTCCCACCCAAGAGTCAGGCAATCTTAAATTCGGTCCTGAAATCGCTTGGAAGTCTGACTTCGTCAACCATTGCGACAGCACCGTGCGTGTACGTGCCAGCCAGCACACGCCACGACGAGGGATAATGCCGGATGATACATTTAATCTCATAGTGTCATTCATGCAATTGTATCTCAAACGCTGTACAATAATTACACGGGTTAATAATAATGACAAAGTGTCCAGTAAGGAGATGGAGCAATAAAATTAGGTCCTTGTACAGCTGCTTGGTGGATTACTGCATCGCGGCGTTGTGGGTGATGGAGGCCTTCATCCAGCAGTGGATTGATTATGATTATGACTGCTGACGACAATATTGTTATAAAGTATCGTGATGTTTAAGATATACTGTAGTGTGCAGTGATGGATCCTGTTGTGATATATCATTCACGTTAAGTTGTGCTGGAAGTGTTGCATCATTGTTTGTATTGTATAAGGAACAAGGAGTTTATCAAATTTGTCCCAAGACACCGGCACGTGTGGCCTAACTGTCCTTCGAATAATGCCATGAGATATTTAACGTCCACTGAAATGCAGAGGGTGCATATTCATTGTTAACGCAACGCAACATGACAACTGCATTATTAATCTCTACAACAAGCAAGCGTCATACTGCTGGGCAATGCCACCATCCCGTGTTGTATTGTGCTGTATCATTGTGTTCTATTGTGTTGTTGTGTAGAGGTGGTACGTAATGGCCGGCTCGGTCCTGTTCACGTCCTCGTGGGTCGTGGGGTTCCTCGTCATCGCCTTCATCGTTCTCGTCCTGTTCGTCACACGGAGAAGCCAGTGAGTGAGCCTCACCATCCCTCACAACTGCTCACTACGACGCCTCAACATTTACCACTGCAACACTCCTCATGCTATATTCTTGGTTCTTTCGGTAAAGTCACGTAGATAGAAAAGAAAAAAAGAAAAAAAAGTTATTTTAATAATAAAAGATGCGAATAATAAATTGAAAGTAATGAAAACACAAAAACCCCACGACGTTTCGATCGCAACGCGTGCGGTCTTCATCACTCCTCACCACACCTCACTGCTCACCTCTACAAACTTACCACTCTGCACCATGAATTACTCACTATACCTCGCCATTACACTCACCACTGCTCACCATTACACACTCCTCACCAAACGACACAGCTACATAGTCCACCATACCTCACCGCACGACTACACACCTCGCTGCACCTCAACAAACCGAACCATATCTCACCATGACACAATCACTTGACACCTCACCACACCATTGGGTATCCTGGCCCACAGGACCATAGCCCGGGCGCACTGCCCTCTGGCCTATAATGCCATTCGTCTTTCTCTTGCCCCCTCCCCTCATTCCCTGGCCTTGCTCCGTTCCCTCCACCTCACTGCCTCTCCCCCCCCCCCCCCGTTCCCCACTCATCGATGCCCTCCGTGCTCCCCCAGGCGCCCAGGAGAGCCTCCCCTTGATAAAGGCCTCATCCCATGGCTGGGCCACGCCATCGAGTTCCGGAGGGACATGTACGCCTTCCTGCGGCGCATGCAGCGCAAGCACGGAGACACCTTCACGGTCAGCAGCGGCAGCAGTGGGGACAATGAGAACGACAACAGCAGTGGGAACAATGGGAGCAGCAGCAATAGAAGTGGGAACAGTGGGAACAGCAGCAGTGGGAACAATGGGAGCAGCAACAATAGAAATGGGAACAGTGGGAACAGCAGCAGTGGGGACAATGGGAACAGCAGCAGCAGTGGGAACAATGGGAGCAGCAGCAATAGAAGTGGGAACAGTGGGAACAGCAGCAGTGGGAATAATGGGAGCAGCAACAATGGAAGTGAGAAAAGTGGGAACAGCAGCAGTGGGGACAATGGGAACAACAGCAGCAGTGGGAACAATGGGAGCAGCAGCAATAGAAGTGGGAACAGTGGGAACAGCAGCAGTGGGAACAATGGGAGCAGCAACAATAGAAATGGGAACAGTGGGAACAGCAGCAGTAGGAACAATGGGAGCAGCAACAATAGAAGTGGGAACAGTGGGAACAGCAGCAGTAGGAACAATAATGGCAACGGTAGCAGGAGTGGGAACAATGGGAGCAGCAGCAGGGATAACAGTTGGGATTAGGGTTGCCGCAGGTACAAAACAAAACCAGGACATATCGTGGGAAGCAGAATATCTGATAATTCCAAAATAGGGCAGATCAACATGCAAGTGCATAGTCGTGAGTTGTATATTATTGTGCAATCGACACAACACAAGAAGTTTAGAAGACTTGCAGATTTCCTAGTATGGCATCTACGTGAAGAGGACGTCCTGGGAAAACCAGAACAGGTGGCAACCATAGTGGGGGCAACCTTCATCTCCATATCGACATTTTCCGAGGCCTAGGTTACGAAAACTAAAAGTACAAACTTTTTCTTTGAACATTTTGGAGACACCAAATTTAGACATTTTGCTTTTCAGGTTTGTATAATTATAACGTTTTCTCCATCAATACGATGCCTCTAACTTGAATATGTTCTCTCAGTCCTGTCCCTCTTTCTATCTCTTCGTGTAATTCCAAGTTTGCACCTCTCCCATGTTTTTTTGTGTGGCCTTATCAACTTTTGCTCCACTTCATAAATATCCATGTTTCTGACTCGTACAGTATGTCACAGCTGAGGATGCACACAAAGTAAACCTTTTATTCTTTAGGCATACTAGTACATTGCTTTTGATTAACTTCAGTTTTTCAAAAGCACTGCAACTTACTCTTGTGCGCCTCGTTATTCAATTGGTTTGAGCCCAGTCAGCCTTCAATAATAATTGCCCTAGATACACAAATCCTCATGTCTTTTCCAGTTGTGTCCCTCCAACAGAAATCTTAATTTATTTGTTGAACGCTATATTTATCTTGAGCTCCACGTTGCATCCTTCTTTGTTAAGTTTTTCTATAGTTTCCTGATTGGCTAAGCTGATATTATGGGGACGTGGAATTGTGCGCCGCTCACATCAATATTTCACGGCTAAGTGTGGACTCAATTTCTGACTGCGAATGACTAAATTAAATCCAGAGACTAAAGCCTAGTTAAATATCCTTCAACCAATTCTAGATTTGAAGTTATTGTGACTGCAGTGATCCATACTCTTTGGTTCTTTCGGTAAAGTCACATAGGTAAAGGTAGGTTTTAAAGGTAGGTTTACCTACGTGACTTTACCAAAAGAACCAAAGAGTATCCTTCAACTAGATTAAATCTATGGCTAAAATATAACATGCTTAACTAAATTAACACTATGTACACGTGTGCACTTAAAAATCATGTCTGCCAGTCTAGTGTGTGCCTGGTAAAAGCACCATGGTGAAATAACTGCCAATTATTGGTGAATGGTGGCTGCTGTTGTTGTCGTAGTGAAGTAGATAGCGCATTTCACTACACACCCGGTGAATATAGTTTACTCATGACCAACATCATTGGCAAATTATTGAACCAATTTTGGGCCTCCTCTTGGTCAACGCAGCCATGATTTCATAGCTGATGTGGTGTGTAAACATAAGGCATTGGTGAGACAAAAAGCAGCCCGGAATGCTTCTGACCAAATCACCCTCTCGTGTACCGTGACCACTTCGATCTTCCTCCTGTCCCTTGGTTTCAAGGATGACATCGACAATTGTCAGCAGTTCTGCTGAGTATATTCATGTGACTTCACAGATTAACATGGGAGACAGAGCGCTCGTTACATTGAATGCAGAACCACGTGGGTGGTTGGGCCGATCGAGATCGACGCTATCTTTGTTGCTGGTGCCGCATCTCCTCCCACTGTGCATCATGATTCTTGTAAAAAATGTTGGACAGTTGCCAGCCGCTTGCACTTCTAGCTGGCCTTTACGTGTGCTCACTAGTAGCAACTTGCTTCAGCATCCTACGGAGGCCATACGCCGGATCTTTCGTTGTCTTTGTGTGTCCGCCCCCTATGCCACCGCAGGTGTGCTTGGGCGGAGAGTACATGACGTTCATACTGGACCCACACGATATGACGGCCGTGGCGCGCGAGGCACGCTCCACGCTCGACTTCACCGAGTTTGCGCGCAAGCTCGTTCTCAGCGTCTTCGGCGTTAACTTGAAGGCCGAATTCGCCAAGGCGACAGAAGCCCTCAATGTCAGGTGCGGCGCCTCAAGCAACAGCTCACACTACAACACACTCACGGTCTTGTATATGTGGGTGCAGTGGTAAGATAGTTTAAGATAGTGAGAAGGGCCTGGGTTTGATTCCCCACTCGGGTGTCTTTCTGTTGTCTCCCTGTTCTGAAGAGTGTGAGTATGTGAGTTTCTGTGTCGATTTTGTATGCTCTTCACTTGCCCTGCATGGGTTACCTCTGGGTTCTTCAGTTCCCGACCATGGTAAAAACTATAATTAAAAATACTATAACTGCTATGGGCCAGGACCCTCTTGAAAAAAAGTCTTGAGACTCATAAAATAGATTCAGATTATTCAAGTCCAATTACTTAGCAGTGCCAACTCGGCACTCTGGCCCCTGAGTTACCCGGCCACCTCCTAGGCAAATTAGTCGAAGAAACAATAAATACGCATTCACCCCCATTGTAGAAAGGTATTTGTATAACCTAATATACAGCGTGTTTTAAAACCATGGACCCGATTTCAAAGCAGTATATTTCACGATGCAACATGTTACAATTACACAAACAGTTACAAACGGTTTAGTGAGTTATAAAGTTTTACTAACCATTTTATAAATGCTCTATGTGCCCTCTACCTGCTGTACGGACAATATCAAGACAATAGTTGAATTCGTCCCAAACGCCTCTCAAAGTGTCTTCTTCCACTGAAGTCACCGCTGCCGTGATTTTGTTTTTGAGGCCATCCAGATTAGTCGCTAATGGTGGCACAAAAACACCACGGGTCTTTGACGTATCCCCACAAGAAAAAGTCGCAGGGTGTGGTGATGTCTGGGGATCTTGGGGGCCAAGAGTGTAGCACCAAGTCTTGGGGTCCCGTGCGACCTATCCAACGTTGAGGCAGTGTTGTCTTGCGAATGACTGAGGCTAGGGGCTGTTTGTGCGCTGGGAGAGGCATCTAGCGGTAGTCATTTTAAACTCTTATGCCCCGCCCTTTCAAGTGGTAAGCGTTTCATTCATGGGCGGTTCGTCTTTGCAGAGATATAGCGATTCAAATCGGGTCAATCTCTTTCAAACACCCTGTACATATGTTATGCATTACTTGTGTTGTTTTATCCAGGCCACCTCTCCCCCCCCCCCCCCATTACCCCAGATAATCAAGAGTGTACTTCTTTCATATGGTAGGATGGAAAAGCAACAGTTTTGAAACGTAGTTGAATCCAAATTTTTTTCAAACAATCCAAGAAGGCAATAGATGCTGGACGGATCGCACCGACACCGCCAGGATGTTGCTTGGATGGCACATTCGTCGGTGATGCGTTTGAAGGTTTTGGACTTCACCACCGCTGCAGTTTGCCGATTCTTTGGTCTTCCGTTTGCGAAACGTGTACGCACATTACCCATGTTGCGTTGGAGCGCGGTTAAGCGTGTGCCATAGTGATCATGGGAGAAAGAAGCCACCCAGTACATCCACAGTCAGATCCTCAAGGAGGTTTTTGTTTCCTAACGCCCAACCTTACATTTATTACGTAAAAAAAACCTCTGCAAGCCAGACCCATTTGGGATATAGGCTTTGGAGGGGATTTCTGGCAATACATGTCCATACAATTAACATCGAACATGTAAAAAAAACATATTTAAAATAATAGAGAGACAACCATAGAATATGGGAATATATCGTCCAAGTGACCAATGCGTACACGCATGATCCTAGTGATCCCCAGCGGCGATGTGGAGAGTAAGGAAAGAGCAAACCACGAGAAGACTGCATTCACTGAATCTAACGCCCATTTTTAAATATGTGCATGCTTGTATTTACTGTTGTGTGTGTGGGTGGCGAAAACACCACAAGTTGACAGTTGGGAGCACAGGTGGTGCATCTGCCAGTCATCTGAGGCAGTCAACTCAATGCACCTGGGTGTGTCCCCTGACCTTCCAGCTAGCCTTCAACACTTCACCGTGGCCTCAAGGTGCACCTAGTCTGGCTCAAGCGCCGTGGTGCTGTCACCACTACTTAGCGGTGATTGGCGGTTGTTGTCGTGCGCTTGTGTGTCCATGTGGGGAGCGGTTGCCATTCAAGGCCAACATCCATGACGAATATCTGAACCGTTTTGGGTCCTCCACTTGGTCGACTGAGCCATGAATAAGTACCTGGTGCGGTGTGTAAACATCGGCACAGGGGCGACAAAGACAGCCAGGTGTGGTGCCAGCCACGAAACCCCGTCGTGCACGTGACGGCCTTAAAAAAAAGTCCACAGTGGGGATCTTTATCTTTATAGGAATAGGTTTTACCCTTTTAACTGGCACAAAAACTGACACCTTTATTCAAGGCATCATGTTTGCTCCCGAGTTTATGTACGTGTGTTCGTGTGTGCGTGTCGCCTCACAGCCACCTGCAGGGTAAAGGGCTAGTGGGCCTGACGGACGCAATGATGCACCAGCTGAACCTGGTCATAGGGCCAGGTTCGTTTGACGAGGGAAATGGCCGCGGGGGGTGCGGAGGCCACAGGGACACCAAGTGGCACGAGTCCGGCCTCTTTCACTTCTGCTACGACATCGTGTTCAGGTGCGCCGCGCCAATCACCGCTTCACCTCTCTCGCCCCCTCTTGCCATTTTGCCCATTATTTTTATTGCAGTTTTTCAACATCATCATCGTCGTCGTAATCATCATTGGCATCATCATGACCATTACCATTGTCATCATCATCGGCAATGAGTAATGACTGCCCGTGCTGTGTGTAGAGCTGGCTACCTGGCTCTGTATGGCCAGGACTCTGGCGGGCCGGCCGTGCAGCTTATGTGCTCCCTGGAAGTATTCAAGGAGTTTCGCAAGTACGATCAGCTGTTCCCCGCCATCGCTACGTCCTCCCTCTGGCCCGGTATGACACAACCTTCATGATACTTCTCTTAAGTATCTTTTATAACTGCTCTGCCCGGAGAACACCCACGGCCACGAGTGGATCTTCGTCAGTGCCGGGGTGGTGCCACAGGCTTGTAGTGATTTGATGAATTGTCATGAATGTAACAATTCGACAAAAAAAATCGACCCTCTTTTTCCCGTGTCTGTTTTCTGCCATGCATGTTATGTTTCAATCTGTCTTGCATGGCCCATTCGCGTAACGAACTGCCCACCCACCCACTCACTGACCCACTTAGCAACTCGCCTACCCGCTCACTCACACGCTCACCCACCCGCGTTCACTCCGCTGCTTGTCTACTCAACTACCTACCCACCCGCTTACCCAAGCTCCCACCTGCTCATCTACACACTTACCTACCCACTGACTCACTGAACCACCCACTCACTTACCTGCTCAATCACCCTCTTGTACCCATGCTGACTTGTCCACTGGGTGCATGTTTTTTTTTTTCTAACGCCCATCTCCCTCTGTCCCACCCCGCTTCTCCTCCCATCTCAGCCCAGAGGAAGGAAGCGGAGCGACTCCAGTCATGGTTCTGGAAGCTCATGGGGGAGACGCTGCTGCGTGCGCGTGAGCACCTGAGCCCCTGGCTCCTGAGCCATGACGAAAAGCTGATCGAGCTGCAGAGCGACAAAGAGACCCGCGATCGCACCTTGTTCATGATGCTCTGGGCCTCGCAGGTGAGACGCCTGAATCAGCTCTGAAACAGAATGAGTAACGACACCAACGGTAGATCATCGATTATTGGGCGGCTTTGGGTGGGCGGGGGGGGGGTGGAAGGGGTCGCCGGATTCTCAAAATGTGCTTCTTCTTGAGCCACTCCTTTGTTGCCTTGGCCGTGTGTTTTGGGTCATTGTCATGCTGGAGTACCCATCCACAACCCATTTTCAATGCCCTGGCTGAGGGAAGAAAGTTCTCACCCAAGATTTGACGGTACATGGCCCCGTCCATCGTCCCTTTGATGCGGTGAAGTTGTCCTGTCCCCTGAGCAGAAAAACACCCCCAAAGCATAATGTTTCCACCTCCATGTTTGACGGTGGGGATGGTGTTCTTGGGGTCATAGGCAGCATTCCTCCTCCTCCAAACACGGCGAGTTGAGTTGATGCCAAAGAGCTCCATTTTGGTCTCATCTGACCACAAAACTTTCACCCAGTTGTCCTCTGAATCATTCAGATGTTCATTGGCAAACTTCAGACGGGCATGTATATGTGCTTTCTTGAGCAGGGGGACCTTGTGGGCGCTGCATGATTTCAGTCCTTCACGGCGTAGTGTGTTACCAATTGTTTTCTTGGTGACTATGGTCCCAGCTGCCATGAGATCATTGACACGATCCTCCCATGTAGTTCTGGGCTGATTCCTCACCGTTCTCATGATCATTGCAACTCCACGAGGTGAGATCTTGCATGGAGCCCCAGGCCGAGGGAGATTGACAGTTCTTTTGTGTTTCTTCCATTTGCGAATAATCACACCAACTGTTGTCACCTTCTCACCAAGCTGCTTGGCAATGGTCTTGTAGCCCATTCCAGCCTTGTGTAGGTCTACAATCTTGTCCCTGACATCCTTGGAGAGCTCTTTGGTCTTGGCCATGGTGGAGAATTTGGAATCTGATTGATTGATTGCTTCTGTGGACAGGTGTCTTTTATACAGGTAACAAGCTGAGATTAGGAGTAATCCCTTTAAGAGTGCTCCTAATCTCAGCTCGTTACCTGTATAAAAGATACCTGGGAGCCAAAAATATTTCTGATTGAGAGGGGTTAAATACTTATTTCCCTCATTAAAATGCAAATCAATTTATAACATTTTTGACATACGTTTTTCTGGATTTTCTTGTTGTTATTCTGTCTCTCACTGTTCAAATAAACCTACCATTAAATTATAGACTGATCATTTCTTTGTCAGTGGGCAAACGTACAAAATCAGCAGGGGATAAAATACTTGTTTCCCTCACTGTAGCTACTTTTTTACTGTTGCGCGCACGGTGCCCATCGCCTGACTGGTACAGTCATTGGAGCGATTTTGCCGGATTGGCCCGAGACTGCCGGATAATGTTGGAAGCCGGATAATCAGTGGTCAACCGTATTTTGTTTTGACTATAATAATGAAACTTATTTTCCCAGAAAACCACACTTAGTCCAAAAACAGCAGGGACTTGTATGTTTACATATTGTGATGTATTCAACCAAATAATATTTATGCATGTGGGTGAAAACCAGAACCCCCAGAAAAAAACCCACGCATGCAAAGGGGCAACACTATATCCCATACAGATGGAATAGATGATATTAGTCGACACTTGCTGCGCCGTCTTCTGCTGCAAAAGCCCAGGTGTTGCACCTCGACACCCATGGGAATGGAGTTTCTCAAAATTTGTGTGATCAACCAACCCTTGCCTCCAGTGCTGGGTTACAGACTTGCACGACTACTGTCCGGCTATCATGCATTCTGCGCAACCTCTCACCCAGTGTATAAGAGGAATGGTGGGATGCCTATTATTTAATTGCCGCTTTTGTTAAATATTATACCAACATTTATTTTATACTTGACTGCAAGAATGTATATTCTTGGTTCTTTCGGTAAAGTCACCTAGAAGGGAAACAATAAAATAATAAAAATATAAAACAATACAATTATTGTTTCCCTTCTACGTGGTGACTTTACCAAAAGAACCAAGAATATGAATCCCTGCTGTCACGAAAGCTTTAGATAAAAATTCAAGAATGTAGTAAGGCAAGCCAGGCGATGACGCCCTCAATAAGCGCAGGCACAGATGGATTTTGTTGAAATTCTGTGATCTTCCAACCTCGCCTCCTAAGTGCTCGATTACAGGCTTGAATGTCTTCCATGTGACCAGGGTAACACGGGCCCCGCGGCGTTCTGGACGCTGGCGTATCTGATGAGGCACGCGGACGCCATGGCTGCCGTGCGCGCCGAGGTGCAGCAGCTGCTGGAGGCGACGGGGCAGAGCGACGGCGCGGAGACGCGAGAGATCTCGCTGACGCGCGACGCGCTCGTCAAGACGCCCGTGCTTGGTGTGTCCACTCACCCGCTTACTCACCTGCTCACCCACCAACTCAGTAACTTACCCACCCGCCTACTCTCTCATCCACTCCGCTCGCTTAGTCCCTTATTCACTTACCAGTTCACTCACTTACCCACTTGCTCCCTCACCCTATCACTGCCTTACACACCTGCCCACTCACTGTCTCACCTCGCTTGCATGCTCACCCACTCACTTGCTCCCTCATCCACCCACCCACCTGCTTAATTGTGAGGAGGTGGGTGGCCATCACCATGCCCGGCCACCTTTGTTTCTACAATGCTGTTGCTTACACACTGCACCAGGTCGATCTTAAGAAGGCCCAGGATCGGTTCAGATATTTGTGACCGAAGTCGGCCGCGAGTGGGAATCGAATAAGTTAATTGCAAATTGTACCAACCAATTATCTTCCCGCTGCCCCTCTCCCCCATGCAGACAGCGCCATTGAGGAGATGCTGCGCCTGCGCTCGGCTCCCATCCTCGTGCGTGCCGTCCAGCAGGACATGACGCTGCAGGTTCCAGGCGCCAGCGGGCCGGGCACCAAGCTCCGTGCCGGTGATCGCCTCGCCATGTTCCCTCACCTGAGCCCCCACATGGACCCCGAGGTCCACGCGGATCCCGAGGTGGGGGAGGCTGCTGTCCGTGCGTGTCTGTCGTAGAGGCCCAGGCAGATGCTCCGGTCTCTTACCACACGAAGAAAAAACACTCGTTAAGACGGAATGATCAAGATGGCCAATTTGGTAGCAGTACAGCGAGTAATCATCGTAACAATATTTTCGTAATGCTGCGTCTTGTCCGGTTATGTTAAAGCGTGTTTGGCATGTGAGAAGAAACCAGCACACCTGGAGGAAACCAGAATACTTAGAGAAAACCCACCATGCATATGGGGGGTTAACGCTAACAATTCTACACAGATTTGTTTTAGAATCCAATTCTGTATTGCAATCTCATGGCTACGTACCTTGTGGCCGAAAGCCTACAACATCAGAATCCATAAAATACAACTAGACATATCAGTACTAAAAGGCTCAATCCTGCTTAGCTTATTAGATTTTATGGGTACATTCATTGCGATTTAATCGTAGAAAAGTCGATTGCTGATCTATCTCAATCGTGAATTTGTTAAATGTGGTATAAAACGCACCTTCATGGGTTTTCTTAAGACTTATCCCACGCAAAAACACTGAAACATGTATTTACTAAACCATTCCAAGTAGGATCGTGAAAGTCTTGAGAACCTGATTAGGCCATCCTCTATTTCCACTCAGCCTGAAATGGGTGAGGATCCCATGGCAACCGCCTTGCAGCTCACCTGCCCATCTGTGACGCGTTGTCTCATTCTGCCAATTGCAGGAGTTTAAGTTCGATCGCTTCCTGAACGAGGACGGCTCCAAGAAGACGGACTTCTTCAAGTCTGGGCGCAAGCTCCGGTATCCCACAATGCCCTGGGGTGCCGGTGTGTCCATCTGTCCTGGGAGATTCTTCGCTACCAACGAGATCAAACAGTGAGTTCCCCTTTTGTGATGAGGGCCGGATTAACGCAGGGTCTTGAGGGGCTGCAGCCTGGGCCAAATTTTGTGTTACCCCTACAATATCTAACTTTAAGTGGGGGGGTCGTCGTGTATGTGCGCATGCGTCAATGTGCGTGCGTGTTTCAATGTGTGTACGTCAATGTGCCTGCGTTAATGTGCGTGCGTCAACGTGCGCGCGTGCGTGTGTGCGTGTCTCTGCTCAGGTTCATTGTGCTGATGCTGATCCACTACGACGTCGAGTTGTCCGACCCCACCACTAAAGTGCCAGACATCAACGTGTCGCGATTCGGATTTGGCGTCATGCACCCAACGCACGAAATTTCCTTCCGTTACCGCCCGCGCTTCTGAACAGCGGTCGACACTACCCTCCTTGCCTGGTCTCTAACCCTGCCCTGCTGCTCCTTCTCCCTCTCCTGTGAAGATGCTGTTTGTATCTCAGACATCTCTCAAATTTGACGAGAATGACTGTTTCAGTCGCTTGAAACTGTTCATCCCTCTTTGATTGTTCAACCTGTTTGCTTAAATTCTTGTCCATTCTACCACCTGTCAATCTGTCAGTACATCTGTCAGTCCATCTGTCAATTATCTGTTGGTTCGTTTATTCATCTCTGTATAGATATCTGCCCACCTGTATATGCTTGTTTCTGTGCTGCATGACTGTATCTCCACCTGTTTGTCTAACTGTCTGTCTTTCGGCACCCCCTTTGTGTCCATCTACAGAGTTGTTTATGTCCCTGTTCATATGTCTGCCCACCTGTGTATTTATTCATATATACATCCTTTCATCAGTCTGTCATGATCATACATCATCCCGACTGCTTTAGTTGAATTCAATGACGTAAGAACTGGATGCTCCAACCCACATAGGATTCCAACTTTATCTGAATTCATGCCTTATATGGTAAATACGTCTTTGGCATGGAAAATGAAGTGTTGTTTATTCAATTAAAAGTTGTTTGAAAAAAATACATCGGCTGGATGAATACATTACAGTGTACGCATCCTGCAAACAACATTCCCTATTCCCGAAGAGAATAAAATGTATCTTGTAGAATAAATTTACTAGTGTTATGTTTAATTTTTAAATCGCGTCTTCGTTCATGCACATTGCATCTCACAATCGCTGAGGAACCACAGACAAACTGGAAGGCAGCAGCCAGGTGGGGAGCCGGCGCTTTCAACAATCGCCCAAGCTCTGCAGTCCTCTATATATTAACATGTTTTCAACTAATGAATGTGTACAGTATGCAGCACCCAGAGAAAGCCGACGTGTGCGAGGGAGCAACGCTCTATCCCATACAAAAGAGACATATAAGTCTGCACTGTGCTGTACCACCTTCTGGCAAGCCAAGGCATCGTACGTCAATGCCCGTGGGAAGTGAGTTTCACGATAATTGTGTGATCCACGATCCCTTTCCTCCACAGTGCCAGATTATAGCTGTGCCCAACCACTACTACAGATGCATAGAATACATTTTCAGTCAAAGTAAGCTGCACGTGACATTACATCCGATCACTGACGCATGATGCGGCTGGACTAAAAACTACACATAAATTACCACAGCACCAAATGCCAGAGTAACCATTCCGTTTACATTTTATATATTGTTTATTTAAAAGCTGAGCTTTTTCAGTTTCCCAGCTTATTCGAGTTATTTCATCGTGGAGACCCAGCGACAGTGCATCTTTGCATTCCGCACGGTATTTTTAAAGCATGAGGAGGGACTATGTGAAACACGCACTCCTATCTAATCTCTTCTTCATCTGCCACGTGGGCTGGGTGACCTTGGAAAGAGTCACGGCCACACAACAACAGACTGCGCGATGAACTTTCAAGGTTTTACAAGAGGTAATATCAGAGTGAAGGTTGGGGACAGGGTGCACAGAGGGAAGTTAGAGGGGTAGGTGGGTGGCATGAGGATGCAATGTAGATATTTGGTTGAAGTTGACCTTCATTTGACAAACAATAATCATGGACTTATTTGCTCGGATGAGCGTGCAGTTTTCGGTTTGATACAGTATATAACCTGTATTCATCCAGTACAGAACCCTCATTGTATCTGACATAGAACTCTCATCTCATCTAATACAGAACCATAATTTTACGTCACTTGTCTCATCCAATGCAAGAACCCTAATCTAATGCAGAGTCCATGTCTCATTCAATATGTAGTGACTGACTCAGAGACATGAAGAGTAGGAGGCACTCTGTTTATTAATAGCCTTAACAGTTCACACAAACTACAGCTCCCAATCAAGACAGCTGGCAGACTGCCTGACTGATGAAGACAGCGACGAAGACTCCAGCAGCACGACGGGATCCAACTCCAAATGACAGCCATGAGCTCCCGCTCAGGGCCCCCTTTTATCCTCCCAGCGTAGCCTCGCTCTGTCCCGCTCACGCCCCATTTCTAGAACCTACTAGCGGGTTCCTGAGCTTCCCTGACGTGCCCCTTCTGTAACCTTTCCCCTACATCCCTCTCTCTGGTCTATCACGTGACCTGCTGTCAGTCAGGCTGCTGTAACTGCAGATCCCCTTCCCTGCCAGCAACAAGCGCTATTCTGCCAAGTGACCGATTCTATATCACTACATCACCCCCCCCCCCCCCCCCCAGTAAAAAAAGAAAACCAGCCATCCCGGCAGACCTCCATCCTCCGCGTAGTGGAAACAAGAACAATTAAAAAACCCAACAGGGATAATTATCAACTACCGACGAAAACCCATAGTAATGAACCCGGACCCCAGGGATTGAACAATATCCAACGACCGTCAGCGTGCCGCAGCCCGCAAGCATCGTGAAGGATCCCAGGTCAACCAGCAGTTCTCTGCCCGGCTCGCGTCTGCGGCCACGCGGCAGACGGCGTCGGAACTAATTTGGTCAAAAACAAGAAGGGGTGGGCTATTGAAATCGAACAGTTGTGGAACGGGTCCTCGTCGCCGGGCCCCCAGGCGGGACAAGAATGGGCTTCCTGGGGACATCCGGGACGATATGTAAATGGACTAACGGGCGCGCCCCCTCCCGAGAAGAAGACAAAGGTGAAGAAGGAGATGACGGCGCATTTCATCATCCCAATACGTCCAGTGCATAAAAATGAGGAAATAAACAAAACTAGGAGAAACAGCCAACAACTCTGGGAGTAAAGACCAGCTAGTTAAAATATGTTATTTGTTTCCGATTCCAAAAAATAGTTTTTTTATACAAACTTTTTTTATATATATGTACAAACTATTTTATTGTAGAATGTATTAATAGTGGATTAATACAGCACGAAGAGTTTAAGAAGTGATACAAATGATACTATATACAAAAACAATAAAAAGGAACCTTATTATAGCTGCTCACCCCGAACTATAAATGTTCTTCTGATCGTGTATTGTCTTTGTACTGTTCGCTATTTGGCATTCTCTCGTCTGACACTGGTGAGACTAGGCCCTCAATAAGGCTCTCTCTCGTGTAGGCCAATCAGTTTCAAAGACAATTCATATGTAGTGTAGTGAGTTCTGGAGACGTCAGAGACTGATTTTGGAGGCAAGACTTTTATTCACAATACTTCGGCAATACAGCCCCGGCTCACTGAGGGCAATGGCGCTTCTATACACAATGCCTGGGGAGGTATTTCCTCCGGCTAACGTGCCCTAACACTGGACCACTCCTCTGACACTCAGCAATACAACCCCAGCTCACTCAGGGCAACGGCCCTTCTATACACACTGCCTGGGGAGGTACTGCCTCCGGGCTATCGTGCCCTAACACAGGATCACTTATCTGGGTCCTCCGGCTACGGGTGCCTAGGGGAGGCTACTCTAACCAGACCTAGCCAGGGTGCGGGTTCCAACCGCTGCCCGCTTGGACCCGGCCCTCACAAGGACATCAGGCCATGGGTTCCAGGGTCTCACCACTGAGCCACACAGAGTCCCGGCCCTTACATGGGCAGCGGGGCTAGAGGTCCCAGGGTTCTATCTAGCTGGACTTCTTGCTTCTGTCTTGGACTGGCTCCGAACCCTTCCAGGGGTCCGGCTTTTATTCCCAGCACCGGTGCGTCAGCCCTGGCTCCGCCTACCTTCTAGAGAGTTCCAGTGGGGGCTCCGGAGGATCCCAGGACACCCCGCAACCCCCTCCTACTGGGAGGGATCCTGGGGGATCCTAGAACACCCCACAACCCCCTCCTGCTCTGGGGCAAGGGATATTGCGACTGCCCCTGCTGGACTGTGTCTGCCCCTACAGGTAAGTGCACATAGCCCATTTACGTCGCTACACATATTATCAGAGCATGTTTGTTTACATGTTCACCACAAGTACGTGTGGTTAAAGTGAACTTGATTCCTTGTAAAAGCTTTCTATTTGGTGTTTTAACATCTTAACACCTCTTTTTTTGCCAGAAAGGGTAAAAGATGCTTGTTATTTTTTCAGAAACAGAATAAACATAAAACGAGAGTTCTGAATATTTTGGGGTACCTGAATGTTATTTCGATTATTTTGCTGCTATACATGTCCACGTGATAAGCCACTTCGTTGAGATATCATTTGTGGCCAGGTCACTTCTGAAAAAGAAGCTAATAGCTTATTGGGCTTTACTTGGTGAGATAAAAAATATATATTTGTGTAACGAGATGACGTCCCCAACACGGCTTGTAGAAGGTGTCTTTATTTATTTATTAATACTTTAGGGGACAGGGTCACAAAATAACATAAACGCTATACTCTTTGGTTCTATTGGGTAAAGTCACTAGAACCAAAGAGTATGGATCCTAGCAGTCACGAAAGCTTTAAATCTAGAACATAAACGCTGACTGACTTTTAGCTTAACCACCCATACAGCAACATCGGTGACGTACAACTATATAGCTAACTGACTATATAGTGATGACGACGATGAAGACTGTATAGCTGGCGATTTATGCAGCGACGATAACGGTGAAGAGATGACAGCGATTACAGCGACGACAGCCAGGACCCGAACCCCCATGACAGCCCCGTACCCCGGTTTGCCTCTCCTTTATATCCACCCAGCGTGGCCAAGCCCCCGCCCTTGGCCACGCCCCTCTTCTGGAACTCTCTCGCTGGTTCCAGGACCTTCCAGTTCAATCCACTCCTTGACCCTTGGCCCAGTTATGCCTCCCCTTGTGGTCGCTTACACGTGTCGTTCTATAACGCACCCATACCCGTAGTTAGCCCCTATGGCCACCAGATGGCATCGTGTCACTGAATTTGTATATATTTGTAACATGATTTGTTTACATTTCCTGTACTTTTTGACTCCGTGTGTTCGTATTGTTTGTCTTTGTAACGGTCTGACCTCCCCCCAATGGACGTCTGAAAAATAGCTTCATAGCTCATCGGATTCCTCCAGTCTAAATATATATTCTAAAAACGTATTTATGACATTGACAAAATAACAAACAAGTATAACAGAATTTACATTATGAGACCTCCTTTGCCAGTAACAATATATAGGAATAGGTTTTACCCTTTTAACTTGTACGCCTTTTGGCGTCTTCTGGTCCAACACCAATGGAGACTAGGCTCTAAAGAAAAGCCGTCTCGGGTGTGGACCAATCAAATTCAAGGACAGTGCATATTATCAGAGTTGTTCTTTTTTGTTTGCATTTTGACTGCTTGTGTTGTGGATATTGCAACATTATGCCTTGAATAAAGGTGTCAGTTTTTGTGCCAGTTAAAAGGGTAAAACCTATTCCTATAAGTATAACAGAAATTCACGCCTATAACTTTTTTTAAACCTAACCAAAAATATAATTCACACGATAACTATTTTCATCTTAACCGCCTCACCAATTAATAATGTATCCTTAAACTAAACATTGTAGTGCACTTACCTGTCAACCCCTTATCAGTTCCTACCTTATTACAGACCAAATTAGACCTTATTGGTCACCCCGTGGCTTTATAAATCTCAAAATGTATCATACAAACTCCCACCACGAGGAAAAAACACAGACAAAAAACAATGCTTTTGTCCGTATTGAAACGGCTGTACGCCGTATGGACTTGAAAACTCAATTTCCCTGTACAAGAATACGGGGTAAACCGTATGGGTTGACACCTATGAGTACATTAAGATAATCAAGTTGACTGAATGACTAGCTATTAATTAAATAAACAAGTAAAGTTGTAATGAAATATATTCTAAATCCTATTGTAGATTTTCCGTTCCGAGATTTGGAACCGACCGTGTTGGTGGGGGTGGGAGGAAATTGGGGGGGGGGGGGGGGCATACAGGGGGGTGGGGGAAGTTAGGGAGGAGGTGGGAGGTGGGGGGTAGGGGGAAGTGGGGGGAAGGTGGGGAGGAGGTGGGGGGTAGGGGGAAGTGGGGGGAAGGTGGGGAGGAAGTGGGGGGAAGGTAGGGGGGAGGTGGGGGGGTAAGGGGAAGGTGGGGAGGAGATAGGGAGGTGGGGGGGTAGGGGGAAGTGGGGGGAAGGTGGGGAGGTGGGGAGGAAGTGGGGGGGAAGGTAGGGGGGAGGTGGGAGGTGGGGGGTAGAGGGAAGTGGGGGAAGGTGGGGACGGGAAGTGGCGGAGGAAGTGGGGGGAAGGTAGGGGGGAGGTGGGAGGTAGAGGGAAGTGGGGGGAAGGTGGGGAGGAGGTGGGGAGGAAGTGGGGTGGCTTGGAGTCGACTCTATTCTCATAAAGAATCGATTCCCATGCGTTCCTATACGCTGAATCGGAAATCGATTCTTCTAAATTTCAACAACAAATTCCACGAGCGAGCGAGCACTCGGAGCTGTGTCGTCTGGAGGCAACCCGGTCTCCCCCGTGTGTCTTGTGTGTTCGTCGTCTTCTTGGTGGTGGTGCTGGTGGTGCTCCACAACACTTGCCCCCCACCTCCCACAACAAGTCTGGTGAGGGAGGTTTGCGTCTTTGTTGATGCTGCGGCAGCGTCACGGCGGATGAGTTCTAACCCTTGCGAATTGTAAAAAAAAGCGCAGGCCTTGTTTGTGGAACGGTTTTAATGCGTGTCGTAATCTTCCGTCTTGTGAGCGTTTTGGGTGCGTCCACGCGTATGCGTTTTTGCAATAATGTGTTTTAAAATCGTCGAGTTATTGCTCATATCGGACGGTGGATTTTGCGAGTGAATCTGCCTCGGCTTTTCTTGAAGTTTAGGCAAGAATTCAGTACCGGGTTTCCGTCTTCACTGACATTAACCACCGTCACGGTCACCGCCGCCACCACACACACACTTACAAGTACTGTGTAGCCTTGATTTAAAGCTTTGGTGACTGCAGGGATTCATATTCTTGGTTCTTTCGGTAAAGTCACCACGTAGAAGGGAAACAATAAAATAATAAAATATAAAGCAATAAAAGTAAGAATGTTATTGTTTTTATATCTTTTTATTTTTATGGTTTCCCTTCTACGTCGACTTTACCGGAAGAACCAAGAATATATACACAGTATAGTCATTATAGGAGACATGGTCTAAACAGCCATCATCATAATAGTATCACATGGAATTCAGCATCACTGATATATTGGCGTCCATCGTCACTTACATTATCATCACTTGCATTGTCGTCTCTGTATGTCTTAGGAAGAAGGTTCATCGCCGAAACGTCACCTTTTTTTGCCAGGTAAGATCCACTGAACTATAAAAGTGTAGTGCCCGCGAATTCACTCGGACGACAACCGTCTCTTTTGCCGCCGTCACTTTTATTCCATCGTTCCGTACACAGTAATTCTCTCCGTGCTCCGCCAACTCGGACACTCCGATTTACTTCAGCATCGTCCGTGCATCCCCTTCCACACAGTGTTCCTTCTATCTCTTCACACACAGTGTCTTCCCATCTACACACAGTGGTTCGTCTTCTATCTCCTCGCACACAGTATCGCCGCTATCTCTTCACACGCAGTGACTTCCCTTCCACACACAGTGACTCTATCTATCTCCGCTAACGCTGACTCTCCCTATCGCTATTTACTGTCTTTGGGGTCCGGCTCTCTATCTATTCTTCCCTAACATTTCCAGCTGTCTTCTTCGTATCTCTTCACCCCTCGCCAACAACTGCCCAGCAACAACTGCCCAGCAACAACTCTCCAACAGCAACTCCCCTCCGTTCCAACCACCTCGCGTTTTATCCCCTCTCGCATTAGCCTTAATTAATTGCCACGTGGCTCGCTGGCCGTTTCCCGCCAGCTCGCACCTGTCCCCTTCATCAGACATTCAGACGCCACCACTTAATGCTAACAGCCTCTCGACCAATCACAGCCCTCGTGCCACGACTCCCTTAATTACTTGCGTTTACGCCACTCGCGACTCGACCACCTGTTCGACCTCGTGTGAGCCGTTCTCCTTGTCTGTACTGTACATGGCCAATTCCTATGCGCATTATCTACTCCACTACAAAAGTATCTAGATTTGAAGTTTTCGTGATTGCAATGATCCACATACTCTTTGGTTATTTCGGTAAAGTCACGTAGGTAATAAAATAAAACAAAATAAATTAAATCATGTTGTGCGAGACGTGGCCACATTTGTTTAGAAGGTAAATAATCGAAGCAAATTAAGCACGCGCACGTAAGTACAACTGCGTTGTTTCATCAAACCTATGTACTTATCGACATTATACATTTCTCCAACTATTGAAAACCAAAGGGGATGCAAGGCTACAGTAAAGGTGAATAACCACTGCTCTAGACGCATGTTTCGATTACAAATTTGGAAGGAAAAAACAGAGAAATTTGAAACTCCAAATATACAGGTCGTCATGCAACTTGCTACCGGATCGTGAGCGATGATGACAATGGGTGTGGAAAGCCTTCATCCAGCAGGGAATTGACGAAGGCCGATGATGGTATGTACAATATTGTGATGTGTTTAGTTATAGTGGGCAGTAATAGATTGTGTTGAGATGTGGCAGGTTACGTTGTATCGTTGTTTGTATTGTATCGTATAAATGACCGAGTAATGTTTCAAATGTGGAAGATTTGCATCATGACTCCGACACATATGGCCTACTGTTTTTCAAATAATGCCACAGGCCTTTTTTTAATGACCATCGTGAAGGAGACGGTGTGTGTTCGTGGATAGTACAACTGCAGTATTAACCAGGGCCGGCCGGGAGGCTCGAACCTTGAACCTCTGCAACAAACGGCAAATGCACTTCCGCTGGGCAATGTCACCGCCCCGTGTTGTATTGTGTTATATCATTGTGTTATATGGTACATTGTTGCGTTGTTGTGTAGAGGTGATTCGTAATGGCCGGCTTGGTGCTGTTCGCATCCTCATGGGTCGTGGGGCTCCTCGTCATCATCGGTCTCGTCCTGTTCGTCACACGGAGAAGCCGGTGAGTGAGGCTCATCATTCTTCGCCATTGCTTTACCACACTGATCCGCTTATCACCACTACTCAATCGCAACACTTATTGCTCCTCACAGTTACCACTCCGCTCCAATAAAACACTCGCGATGCTTTGCCATTACACACTCGGCACTCTGCAACACTGCACACTCACCACACTTTACCATTATACACTAACCAAACCACACCACGACATTTTGTATTAAACCTCATCACACCATTGCACACCTTGCTACACCAAAAAAAAATCATACCATACCTAACCACTGTTCACCTCAGCACTTCACATATTTCCACCCCATTACACACCTCATTACACATTCCATAAAACTTATAAAACTAATAAGTACCATGGCCTAATCTTGTATATATATGAAAAGGAGTCGGAGACCTGGTTTTAAAGCACTTTGCTATTTCTCCAACGCACAACGTTCCAAAACCAACCCCGAACACGCGTCTCGCAGCCCCTTTTAACCCCTCCATCTCCGTGCTCGCTCCCAATACACATCCACGTCTGGCACGCCTGGTCCGGGTGACACCATGGCCCTTTAACCCCTGACCCCCGTCCAGCGCATTCCCGCGCGTGTGATTGGTGCGTGTTTTAGTGAGAGCGGAGATTTCGTGTCTGCGTGGTGCGTGTGCGTGAGGGTGGCTCACAGATCCCTTACATCTATAAAAATCAAAAATTGTCTGTGGGTTTGTGTGTGGCTTTGTGCGTGTTCGTGCGCTTGCGAACGATTTCGCTCTCCAACAGTGGGGTTTACGTTAAATAAAAATAGCCAGGTACCTTGCCGTAAGCCCTGCCGTGAGCAAGAGCTATTCCTTTTTCACATCCGTCAACTTTAGATTAGTTTAATTTGCGATTTGGTGACATTTTTGCGTGTGCTATCTCTTTCTTTTTTTTATCTATTACGCGTGCACATGCCTTTGGTGGGGGGGACGGCCCAGGCCAAGTCGCACGCCTTCGGTGAGAGTGAGGGGGGCATTTTATTTCGCGTTAAAAATGCTATTGAAATACACTAAACGCTCAGGTAAATTATATTCTTGGTTCTTTCGGTAAAGACTTTCGGTAAAGACTTTACTGAAAGAACCAAGAATATGAATCCCTGCAATCACGAAAGCTTTAAATCAAAATTTAGCTCAGGTAAATTCTTCACTGTGTGATGTCCCCCCCACCCCGATGTGTGCAGTTACTACTATACAGTCGCTAGATGCTACCACTATAGGCCGCAGATATTATGCAGATCGGCCGGGGAGATCGTGGCCTGGGGGGGGGGGGGTCATGGGGTAGCAGCCCAGCCCCAGCCTGCCAAGGTGCCACCTCGGCCAGCTGGACAATCTAAGCGAGGCCGAAGGCTCTCCATGGGACTAGGCCTCACCACGCCACTCCGTCAGGTGATTACTTTGTGCTATAGAGTCGATAAATATGCTATAGAGTCAGCATGTAATACTGTAGTGATAGCAGGTACCACCACAGTCGGTATGCACGGCTGTAATCATAGTAGGTACCACCATAGTTCAGTACGCACGCTGTTAGATTTTTAAGAGTACAGTAAAACCTTGGATTGCGAGCATAATTCGTTTCCGGGAAACGTGTTTGTAATCCAAAGCACTCATATCAAAGCACTCGTATATCAGTTGTGATCACGTGACGCCTTGGTAGACAAAGCATATACGTACTACTCGGATTGCAAGACCTCGCTCGTTTATCAAATTAATATTTATTTAAAATTTTGCTCGTCTTGCAAAACACTCGCAGACCAAGTTACTCGCAATCCAAGGTTTTACTTTAGTTTGGAAATATTTTTTTGGCCCGGGCAATGCCGGGGGTATATAAGCTAGTGGGCTATAAAACTGGTAGCACACCCCTCCTCCTGTCCCTAATGCCTGAACTCTATCTCTAGCCCCTCTCCTCATTCCCCTGGCCTTGCTCCGTTCCCCCCCACTCAATACCCACATGCCCCCCCCACCTCAATGCCCTCCACCTTCCCAACCCATCAATGCCAATCTGTGCCCCCCCCCCAGGCACCCAGGAGAGCCTCCTCTTGATAAAGGCCTCATCCCATGGCTGGGTCATGCCATCGAGTTCGGAGAAACATGTACACCTTCCTGCGGCGCATGCAGCGCAAGCACGGAGACGTCTTCACGGTCAGCAGCAGCAGCAGTGGGGGACACTGGGAACAAATAAACGTGGAACAAATAAACGGGATATATGATAAGAAATAGGGCAGATCAACATACAAGTACATTGTAGTGAGTGCTGTATTATGCAATTACACAAACAGGAGTTTATTGTCACAGAAAGACTTGCCAGATCTCCTCCATGCATCTTATTTGTGAAGAGGATGTCCTAGGAAATCCAGGACAGGTGACAACCATAGTGGGGTAAATAACCTCTAATACTCTCCATACACAAAACTCTCCTAGGCTAGGTTACAAAGCCAAAAAGTACAAAATTCATTTTAAAATTGTGGGGGCCACTAATTTTGACATTTTGGTTTTAAGATAGTTTTTACTTTTTCATTCCAGTCAATTCGATGCCTCTAACTTGCACATGTTATCTGATTCATATATCCCTCTGTCTCTCAGTATAATTCCAAAGCATGCACCTCCTCTCCCGTGATTTTCTGTAGCCCCTTATTTTGTTAAATTTTCTTTGTCAAATCTGGATTTTATTCCTTAAGCACATTGATTGTTTTAATTAAGTTTAGTTTTTCAAAAGAATTGCAACCTACTCTTGTCCACCTCTTTATTTTCATCCTTTAATCTCGGTCAGCCTTCACGGTAAACCCTGATGTCTATTCCAGTTGTGTTCCTCCAACACAAATCTTCATTTGTTTGTTCAACTCTACTTGGTTTTTTTCCATACTTATCTTGAGCCCCACATTGCAACCTTTTTAAATTGTGTTGCCCCTCACACCAACATGTCATGACCAAGTGTGGACTCAAATTCTAAACTGTGAATAACTAAATAAGAATCCAGACTAAAACCTGAATAGAATTACATAGGTTGTCTTCAACTAGACTAAGACTGTGACTAATATAAAATGTGCTGAATAAATTCATCCTACTGTGTACATGTGTGCACTTGAAATTGTGCATGTCAATCATGTGCGTCTGTGCTTGGCACAAGCACCATGGTGATTGTCACCCGCCACTTAGAGGCAAATGGGCAGCGGTTTGTTTATTGTTGTAACTTAGAGGATAGCACATATCACTACAAAACTCAGTGAAGATTGTTTTATTTCAACTCATGGCCAACATCAGTGGTAAATATGAGCCTCCCCTAGGTCAACTCAGCTATAATTTCACATCTGTGCGGTGTGTAACATCAGCAAATGGTTCAACAAAAGGCAGCCAGGCACGGCGCTGCAACATCACCACCTTGCACACACCTGACGTCCTCCGCCAACCTCCTGTTCTTTGGGTTCACGGATGATGTCGACAATCGTCGGCTGTTCTTCGAAGTCTGCATGTGGGCTGCATTGATCAATTTGGGGAGACACAGCACTTGTCACTTAATGCCGAGCCACGTGGGTAGTTGGGCTGATCGAGATCGACGCTATCTTCCTTCCTGGTGCTACATCTCCCTACTGTGCAACGAGATTCTTTTCAAATTTTCGGGACGCCATTTTTAATGGCGTGGTGGCACAGACTACTCGCTAACGGCACTCGTTTCAGCAGCCTGCGTAGGCCATACGCGGGAATCTTTTCATTGTCTCTCTGTGTGTCTCCCCTGCACCGCCGCAGGTGTGCTTGGGCGGGGAGTACATCACGTTCATGCTGGACCCACACGACTGTGGCGGCCCGTGGCGCGCGAACCACGCTCCGCGCTTGACTTCAAAGCGTTTGCACGCCAGTTCGTCTTGATCGTCTTTGGTGTAAACATCAAAGTGGAGTACCCTAAGGTCACCAGCGCCCTCAACGTTAGGTGCGGCACCTCAAGCTACAGCTCGCACCAAAGCTCACTCGTGATCCTTTTAACTCTGGCGCAGAGTGGCGCAAGTGGTAACACACGCTTGTGTTGTACTATGAGTGTGGTGCATATTTCCAGTCGCCTCAGGCAATCAAACCAGGGCACCTGGGTATGTACGCTGACCTGCCAGCAAGCCTTCGACACTTCACCGTGGCCTCAAGGTGCAACTAAGCCTGGCTCATGCACTATGGTGATGTCACCGCCCACTTTGTGGCGAATGGCGGTTGTTGGTGTGCTCTTGTGTGTGCTCATGTGTGGAGCTCTAGTGTAGTGGGTAGCCCACTGACCTGGGTTTACTTGCCACTCACGGCCAACATCCGTGACAAATATCTGTTGGAGGCCCTCCCCGGGGTCGACTGAGCCATAAATTAGTCCTTGGTATGGTATGGAGACAAAGTCAGCCAAGTTATGGGATGATGAAACACCTCCCTTGCTCCAACAGCTGCACAGGGGACCGTTGTGCGCTCGCGTGTGCATGGTCGCGTGTGCGTGTCGCCCCGCAGCCACTTGCAGGGCGACGGGCTGGTCGCCATGACAGACGCCATGATGTCCAGCTGCACCTGCTCATGGGGCCAGGTCATTCAATGAAGGAAACGGTCGTGGGGGGTGCGGGGGGCACGGGGACGCTAAGTGGCATGAATCCGGTCTCTTTGACTTCTGCTATGGCATCGTGTTCAGGTATGCTACACTGAGTTCTGCTCCTCTTCTTGTGCTCCCCTCTTGCTATTTTCCCTCCGTTGTTTTCATTGTGATTTTCAAACATCGTTATTGCCATCGTCATTATCTTCATCATTGTGGTTATCATCGTTATTGAGTAATGCCTGTCCATGCTGCACGTAGAGCCGGCTACATGGCTTTGTTTGGCAGGAACCGGGCGGGCCGGCAAGGCAGACCACACACTCCCTGGAGGTGTTCAAGGAGTTCCGCAAGTACGATCAGCTGTTCCCCGCCATCGCCACGTCCACGCTCTGGCCCGGTATGACACAATATTTCATTGATGCATGTCTCAAGTATTCTTTTATAACTGCAGTGCCCGGAGAACACCCACGGAGCACGAGTGGATCATCGTCGGTGCTGAGGTGGTGCCACAGGCCTACAGAGATTTTATAAATTGTCACGAATGTGAGGTCAGCATTCGACTAAAAAAAAAAAGTGTCCCTTTTGTGTTTTCTGTCATGCATGTTTTGTCTCGTATGGCCCATTGTCATAACTCTAACTGCCCAGCAAGCTACTCATCTGTTCACCAACCCGGTTACTCAACCACCCGCTCATTCACCCACCCGCTCACCTACCCACTCACCCGTTCAACTACCCGCTTACCCACCTGCTTTCCCACATGATTAGCCACTTACACATCCGCTCTCCCACACCCTTACACACTCACTCCCCGACGTGCTCACCTGCTCATCCACTTACTCACCCACTGGCTCACTCACCCACCCACTCAACTGCTTGACCGTCCTCTTGTTCCCCAGCTCACTTGTCCCTCTATCTCTCCCTCCCCCTCCCTACACATCCCCACCCTTCCCCCCAATTCTCTCCTCGGCTCAGCCCAGCGGAAGGAAGCAGACCGACTCAAGTCGTGGTTCTGGGAGCACTTGACGGTGGTCGCTGCTGCGTAGTGCGTGAGCACGTCAGCCCCTGGATCTTGAGCCGCGACGAAAAGCTTGCCGAGCTGCAGGCCGACAAAAGAGACCCGGGATCGCACCTTGTTCATGCTGCTCTGGGCCTCTCAGGTAAGGCCCTGAATCAGCCCTGCAGCAGAGCGTTATGCAAAGTGACAGACGCTTGTGTTTGCACACGAAGCGTCGTGATTTATTTTATACCTACGTGACTTTGCCGAAAGAACCAAAGAGTATGGGGGAGGGGGGGTGTTGATCTACAAAACTCACAACACTGTTCATGTTTAAACCAGGCTTTTTAAATATTGTTAAACACTAAAAAGAATGAGTAGCTATGCGATTTGCTTTTGTCTAAAATTATAACAAGCAAATTGCATCTCCCTTGGATGTGAGCTTCCGTACATCCCAGACAGCCAGCCAGCAAACTTGTTATCTTGTATTGAGCCCTCTCTCCACCTTCCTCTTGCCTTCCTCTGTACTATATATCCCAGTTTATCTCTCTGTCTCGATTTGCTACGTTGTTTCATTCCTCTCCCTTTTTCTACCTCTCCCTCCCTCCCTCTATATTCTCCTCTCTTCCACTATATCGTCCCTACCCCTATCTCTCTGTTTATCTCACTCTCATTATTCCAACTTCTCCCTTTCCCATCTCAATCTCTCTTGCCTCTCCCGAATCATCTCACTGCTGTCGTCTTCCCTCGCCCTAATTTTTTTTTTTTGCCCTCTTTTACCTCTCCGTTTCACACCCCTTTCACTCTCTCCCCTGCCCTTCTCCTCTCCGTTCCTCTCCATCTCTTCCTCCCTCCTCTATCACCCTCCCTCCCCTCCTGCTATCTCTCCTCTATCGCATGCGGGGAGATACACGGCCAGGCTGAAGGGTGGGAGGATGGGGGGGGGGAGAGCCATGATGTTAGCACAACACACAAACCCGACTCAACACTGTGGGATCATCACGCAGATCTGCATGATGATGTCACCTCTGCGCATGCGCGCTTGCTTGTGTGCCAGGAATCCAGCCAGAAAAACTTTTATCTAATACATACGGTGCGAAAGAAGTTCAACATACGTACGCCAATTTGGCTAATTTTGCTTAAAGTGCCGAATTACCCATAAACTACACATGCGAAAGTACGCATTGGTTTAATACGTTTTACTTGACTTTAACAATTTACCTTGGCAAGGCAGGAGGTGGCGCCCTTAATACGCACGAATAGTGATGGAATTTTATGAATTGTTTGATCTACCAACCTGGCCTCCAAAGTGCAGGCGGGCAGCAAAGCGACCACAGGCTGGGATGTCCCCCATGTGACCAGGGTAACACGGGCCCCGCGGCGTTCTGGACGATGGCGTATCTGATGAAGCACGCGGACGCCATGGCTGCCTGTTGCGCGCCGAGGGCTGCAGCAGCTGCTGGAGGCGACGGGGCAGAGCGACGGCGCGGAGACGCGAGAGATCTCGCTGACGCGCGACGTGCTCGTCAACACGCCGTTGCTTGGTGTGTCTACGCACGTGCCCACTCACCTGCTCACTCGCTTACTCGGCCACCTGCCCACCCACTCGGCCTATCTCGCTTAATCTAATACCTCACAGAGATCCCCACCCCGCTGTATAGCCTTTAACAAACTTTCGGGGCAAGTGCGATTGGCCAACAACTATGAAGTCCAACAGAGTATACGAGGAGGTGGGTGGCAAGCATCACGACTGTCCACCTTTGTTTTACCGAAATGCTGACATTTGCACACTGCATCAGGTACTCATTTAGACTGAGTCGATAGAGGGGAGGTCGAGACACCAGTTTCAGATATTTATCACCAATGTTTGCCGCGAGCCGGTATCAACTCGGTTCGCCGGGTTCATTAGGCACAGTGCGCCAACTACTGCTCAAACGCTCCCCACATTCATCATGACTTGGCATCATGACTCCTCCTACCCCTCGCCCCTCTCCCCCATGCAGACAGCGTGTATTGAGGAGATGCTGCGCCTTCGCTCGGCTCCCATCCTCGTGCGTGCCGTCCAGCAGGACATGACGCTGACAGGTTCCAGGCGCCAGCGGGCGGGCACCAAGGCTTCCGCGCGCGTGATCGCCTCCGCCATGTTCCCTCACCTGAGCCCCCACATGGGACCCCGAGGTCCACGCGGATCCCGAGGTGGGGGAGGCTGCTTGTCCGTGCGTGTCTGTCGTAGAGGCCAGGGCAAGTGCTCCCGGTCTCCGCCCACCTGAAGAAAAACACTCGTTAAGATGGAATGGTCAATTAGGTGGCAGTACAGCAAATAATCATAGTAACAATATTGTAGTTATACTGTGTTGGGAGGTTTTTTTCTGGTTTTCTCCAGACTCCTCCCACACAGTCCCACAAGCTGAACAAGTAATTTACTAAACAATTCCAAGCAGGATTGTGATATTCTTGCGACTGAGTGCATCCTTCATTTAAAAAAGGAGCACCTGATTAGGCCATCCTCTTGTTCCGCTCTGCCCTATGACAACCGCCTTTGCAGCTCACCTGCCCATCTGTGACGCGTTGTCTCATTCTGCAATGGCAGGAGTTTTAAGTTCGATCGCTTCCTGAACGAGGACGGCTCCAAGAAGACGGACTTCTTCAAGTCTGGGCGCAAGCTCCGGTATCCCACAATGCCCTGGGGTGCCGGTGTGTCCATCTGTCCTGGGAGATTCTTCGCTACCAACGAGACAAAACAGTGAGTTTCCCCTTTTTGTGACCAGGGGCCGGATTAACGCAGGGTCTTGAGGGGTCTGCAGCCTGGGCCAAATGTTTTGTTACCCCTACAATATCTACTTTAAGTGGGGGGGTCGTCGTGTATGTGCGCATGCGTCAATGTGCCGGCGTTGTTTCAATGTGTGTACGTCAATGTGCCTGCGTTAATGTGCGTGCGTCCTGCATGCGTGCGTTTGTGTGCGTGTCCTCTGCTCAGGTTCATTGTGCTGAGGCTGATCCACTACGACGTCGAGTTCTCCGACCCCACCACTAAAGTGCCAGACATCAACGTGTCGCGATTCGGATTTGGCGTCATGCACCCCAACGCACGAAATTTCCTTCCGTTACCGTCCGCGCTTCTGAACAGCGGTCGACACTACCCTCCTTGCCTGGTCTCTAACCCTGCCCTGCTGCTCCTTCTCCCCTCTCCTGTGAAGATGCTGTTTGTATCTCAGACATCTCTCAAATTTGACGAGAATGACTGTTTCAGTCGCTTGAAACTGTTCAGGTTGGCCAGATATCTATACATCTCTGTATAGATATCTGCCAACCTGTATATGCTTGTTTCTGTGCTGCATGACTGTATCTCCACCTGTTTGTCTAACTGTCTTTTCGGCACCCCCCTTTGTGTCCATCTACAGAGTTGTTTATGTCCCTGTTCATATGTCTGCCCACCTGTGTATTTATTCATATATACATCCTTTCATCAGTCTGTCATGATCATACATCATCCCGACTGCTTTAGTTGAATTCAATGACGTAAGAAACTGGATGCTCCAACCCACATAGGATTCCAACTTTATCTGAATTCATGCCTTATATGGTAAAGACGTCTTTGGCATGGAAATGAAGTGTTGTTTATTCAATTAAAAGTTGTTTGGAAAAAAATACATCGGCTGGATTGAATACATTACAGTGTACGCATCCTGCAACAACATTCCCTATTCCCGAAGAGAATTAAATGTATCTTGTAGAATAAATGTACTACTGTTATGGTTTAATTTTTAAATCGCGTCGTCGTTCATGCACAATTGCATCTCCACAATCGCTGAGGAACCACAGACAAACTGGAAGGCAGCAGCCAGGTGGGGAGCCGGCGCTTCTCAACAATCGCCCAAGCTCTGCAGTCCTCTATATATTAACATGTTTTCAACTAATGAATGTGTACAGGATGCAGCACCCAGAGGAAAGTCGACATGTGCGAGGGAGCAACGCTCTATCCCATACAAAAGAGACAATAAGTCTGCACTGTGCTGTACCACCTTGGCAAGCCAAGGCATCGTACCGGCAATGCCCATGGGAAGTGAGTTTCACGATAATTGTGTGATCCACGATCCCTTTCCTCCACAGTGCCAGATTATAGCTGTTCCCCACCACTACTACAGATGCATAGAATACATTTTCAGTCAAAGTAAGCTGCACGTGACATTACATCTGATCACTGACGCATGATGCGGCTGGACTAAAAACTACACAAATTACCACAGCACCAAATGCCAGAGTAACCATTCCGTTTACATTTTATATATCGTTTATTTAAAAGCTGAGCTTTTTCAGTTTCCCAGCTTATTCGAGTTATTTCATCGTGGAGACCCAGCGACAGTGCATCTTTGCATTCCGCACGGTATTTTTAAAGCATGAGGAGGGACTATGTGAAACACGCACTCCTATCTAATCTCTTCTTCATCTGCCACGTGGGCTGGGTGACCTTAGAAAGGGTCACGGCCACATAACAACAGACTGCGCGATGAACGTTCAAGGTTTTACAAGAGGCAATATCAGAGTGAAGGTTGGGGACGGTGCACAGAGGGAAGTTAGAGGGGTGGGTGGGTGGCATGAGGATGCAATGTAGATATTTGGTTGAAGTTGACCTTCACTTGACAATAATCATGGACTTATTTGCTCGGATGAGTGTGCGGTTTTCGGTCTGATACAGTATATAACCTGTATTCATCCCGTACAGAACCCTCATTGTATCTGACAGAACTCTCATCTAATACAGAACCATAATTTTACGTCACTTGTCTCATGTAATGCAAGAACCCTAATCTAATGCAGAGTCCATGTCTCATTCAATATGTAGTGACTGACTCAGAGACACGAAGAGTAGGAGGCACTCTGTTTATTAACAGCCTTAACAGTCACAGAAAGTAACCTACAGCTCCCAGTCAAGACAGCTGGCAGACTGCCTGACTGATGAAGACAGCGACGAAGACGCCAGCAGCACGACGGGAATCACAACTCCAAACGACAGCCATGAGCTCCCGCTCAGGGCCCCCTTTTATCCTCCCAGCGTGGCTCCGCTCCGTCCCGCTCACGCCCCCTTTCTAGAACCTACTAGCGGGTTCCTGAGCTTCCCTCACGTGCCCCTTCTGTAACCTTTCCCCTACATCCCCTCTCTCTGGTCTATCACGTGACCTGCTGCAGGCTGCTGTAACTGCAGATCCCACTTTCCCTGCCAGCAACAAGCGCTATTCTGCCAAGTGACCGATTCTATATCACTACATCACCCCCCCCCCCCCCCCCCAGTAAAAAAAGAAAACCAGCCATCCCGGCTGACCTCCATTCTCCGCGTAGTGGAAACAAGAACAATTAAAAAACCCAACAGGGATAATTATCAACTACCGACGAAACCCCATAGTAATGAACCTGGACCCCAGGGATTGAACAATGTCCGACGACCATCAGCGTGCCGCAGCCCACAAGCATCGTGAAGGACCCCAGGTCAACCAGCAGTCACAGCCGGCTCGCTGTCTGCGGCCACGCGGCAGACGGCGTCGGAACTAATTTGGTCAATAAACAAGAAGGGGCGGGCTATTGAAATCGAACAGTTGTGGAACGGGGTCCTCGTCGCCGGGCCCCCAGGCGGGACAAGAATGGGCTTCCTGGGGACATCCGGGACGATATGTAAATGGACTAACGGGCGCGCCCCCTCCCGAGAAGAAGACAAAGGAGAAGAAGGAGATGACGGCGCATTTCATCATCCCAATACGTCCAGTGCATAAAAAGGAGGAAATAAACAAAACTAGGAGAAACAGCCAACAACTCTGGGAGTAAAGACCAGCTAGTTAAAAGATGTTAATTGTTTTCCGATTCCAGAAAATAGTTTTTTTATACAAACTATTTTTTATATATATGTACAAACTATTTTATTGTAGAATGTATTAATAGTGGATTTATACAGCACGAAGAGTTTAAGAAGTGATACAAATGATACTATATACAAAAACAGAATAAAAAGGAACCTAATTATAGCTGCTCACCCCGAGCTATAATGTTCTTCTGATCATGTATTGTCTTTGTACTGTTCGCCATTTGGCGTTCTCTCGTCTGACACTGGTGAGACTAGGCCCTCAATAAGGCTCTCTCTAGTGTAGGCCAATCAGTTTCAAAGACAATTCATATGTAGTGTAGTGAGTTCTCGAGACGTCGGAGACTGATCTTGGAGGCAAGACTTTTATTCACAATACTTCGGCAATACAGCCCCGGCTCACTGAGGGGAACGGCGCTTCTATACACACTGCCTGGGGAGGTATTTCCTCCGGCTAACGTGCCCTAACACTGGACCACTCCTCTGACACTCAGCAATACAACCCCCGGCTCACTCAGGGCAACGGCCCTTCTATACACACTGCCTGGGGAGGTACTGCCTCCGGGCTATCGTGCCCTAACACAGGATCACTCATCTGGGTCCTCCGGCTACGGGTGCCTAGGGGAGGCTACTCTAACCCGACCTAGCCAGGGTGCGGGTTCCAACCGCTAACTGACTATATAGTGACGACGACGATGAAGACGTATAGCTGGCGATCTATGCAGCGACGATGACGATGAAGAGATGACAGCGATGACAGGGACGACAGCCAGGACCCGAACCCCCATGACATCCTTTCACATTGTAGTGCACTTACCTGTCAACCCCTTATCAGTTCCTACCTTATTACGGACCAAATCAGACCTTATTGGTCACCCCGTGACTTTATAAATCTCAAAATGTATCATTCAAACTCCCACCACAAGGAAAAAACACAGACAAAAAACAATGCTTTTGTCCGTATTGAAACGGTTGTACGCCGTATGGACTTGAAAACTCAATTTCCCTGTACAAGAATACGGGGTAAACCGTATGGGTTGACAGCTATGAGTACATTAAGATAATCAAGTTGACTGAATGACTAGCTATTAATTAAATAAACAGGCAAAGTTTGTAATGAAATATATTCTAAATCCTATTGTAGATTTTCCGTTCCGAGATTTGGAACTGACCGTGTTGGTGGGGGTGGGAGGAAATTGGGGGGGAGGGGGAGGCAGGGGGGTGGGGAAGTTAGGAGCAGGTGGGAGGAGGTGGGGGGGGTAGGGGGGAAGTGGGGGGAAGGTGGGAGGAGGTGGGGAGGAATGTGGGGGGAAGGTAGGGAGGATGGTGGGAAGAGGTGGGGGGGGGGGGTAGGGGGAAAGGGGGGAAGGTGGGGAGGAGGTGGGGAGGAAGTGGGGGACGTTGAGGGAGTTGGGAGGAGGTGGGGGGTAGGGGGAAGTGGGGGGAAGGTGGGGAGGTGGGGAGGAAGTGGGGGGAAGGTAGGGGGGAGGTGGGAGGAGCGTGAGGGGGTAGGGGAAGTGGGGGGGAAGGTGAGGAGGAGGTGGGGAGGATGTAGGGAGGAGGTGGGAGGCAGGTGGGGGGTAGGGGAAGTGGGGGGAAGGTGGGGAGGTAGGTGGGAGGAAGTGGGGGGAAGGTGGGGAGGAGGTGGGGAGAAGTTGGGGGAAGGTAAGGTAGGAGGAGGTGGGAGGAGGTGGGGTAGGGGAAGTGGGGGGAAGGTGGGGAGGAGGTGGGGAGGAAGTGGGGGGAAGGGTAGGAGGGAGATGGGAGGAGGTGGGGGTAGGGGGAAGTGGGGGGAAGGTGGGGAGGAGGTGGGAGGAGGTGGGGGGGGTAGGGGGAAGTGGGGGGAAGGTGGGGAGGAGTGTGAGGAGGAAGTGGAGGAAGGTAGGGAGGAGGTGGGAGGGGGGGGGGTAGGGGGAAGTGGGGGGAAGGTGGGGAGGAAGTGGGGGGAAGGTAGGGAGGAGGTGGGAGGAGGTGGGGGGGGTAAGGGGAAGTGGGGGGAAGGTGGGGAGGGAGGAAGTGGGGGGAAGGGAGGGGGGAGGTGGGAGGAGGTGGGGGGTAGGGGGAAGTGGGGGGAAGGTGGGGAGGAGGTGGGGAGGAAGGTAGGGAGGAGGTGGGAGGAGGTGGGGGGGTAGGGGGAAGTGGAGGGAAGGTGGGGAGGAGGTGGGGAGGAAGTGGGGGGAAGGTAGGGAGGAGGTGGGAGGAGGTGGGGGGGGTAGGGGGAAGTGGGGGGAAGGTAGGGAGGAGGTGGGAGGAGGTGGGGGGGTAGGGGGAAGTGGAGAGGAGGTGGGGAGGAAGTGGGGGGAAGGTAGGGGGGAGGTGGGAGGAGGTGGGGGGTAAGGGTAAGTGGGGGCAAGGTGGGGAGGAGGTGGGGGGGAAGTGGGGGTGGCTTGGAGTCGACTCTATTCTCATAAAGAATCGATTCCCATGCGTTCCCACACACCTGAATCGGAAATCGATTCTTCTCAATTTCAACAACAAATTCCACGAGCGAGCGAGCACTAGGAGCTGTGTCTGTCTGGAGGCTAACCCGTCTCCCCCGTGGTCTTGTGTGTGTTCGTCTTCTTCTTGGTGGTGTGCTGGTGGTGCTCCACAACACTTGCCCCCCACCTCCCACAACAAGTCTGGTGTGAGGGAGGTTGGCGTCTTTTGTTGATGCTGCGGCAGCGTCACGGCGGATGGAGTTCTAACCCTTGCGAATTGTTTAAAAAAAGCGCAGGCGTCGTTTGTGAACGGATCTTAATACTTTTAATGCGTGTCGTAATCTCTCCGTCTTGTGAGCGTTTTGGTGTGCGTCCACGCGTATGCGTTTTGCTAATAGTTTGTGTTTAAAAGTCGTGGAGTTATTGCTCATATCGACGTGGATTTTGCGAGTGAATCTGCCTCGGCTTGTTGAATTTTAGGTAAGAATTCAGTACCGGGTTTCCGTCTTCACTGACATTAACCACCGTCACTGTCACCGCCGCCACCACACACACTTACAAGTACTATGTAGCCTTGATTTAAAGCTTTCGTGACTGCAGGGATTCATATTCTTGGTTCTTTCGGTAACGTCACCACGTAGAAGGGAAACAATAAAAAAAATATACATAAAACAATAAAAGTGAGAATGTTATTGTTTTTGTATATTTTAATTTCATGGTTTCCCTTCTACGTGACTTTACCGGAAGAACCAAGAATATATATACAGTATAGTCATTATAGGAGACATGGTCTAAACAGCCAACATCATCATCATAACAGTATCACATGGAATTCAGCATCACTGATATATTGGCGTCATTGTCACTTACATTATCATCACTTGCATTGTCATCTCTGTATGTCTTAGGAAGAAGGTCCATCGCCTGAAACGTCACCTTTTTTTTACCAGGTAAGATCGACTGAACTATAAAAGTATCAATCTAGATTTGAAGTTTTCGTGACTGCAATGATCCACATACTCTTTGGTTATTTCGGTAAAGTCACGTAGGTAATAAAATAAAACAAAATAAATTAAATCATGTTGTGCGAGACGTGGCCACATTTGTTTAGAAGGTAAATAATCTAAACAAATTAAGCACGCGCACGTAAGTACAACTGCTTTGTTTCATCAAACCTATGTACTTATCGACATTCTACATTTCTCCAACTATTGAGAACCAAAGGGGATGCAAGGCTACAGTAAAGGTGGCCTACTGTTTTTCAAATAATGCCACAGGCTTTTTTTAATGACCATCGTGAAGGAGACGGTGTGTGTTCGTGGATAGTACAACTGCAGTATTAACCAGGGCGGCCGGGAGGCTCGAACCTTGAACCTCTGCAACAAACGGCAAATGCACTTCCGCTGGGCAATGTCACCGCCCCGTGTTGTATTGTGTTATATCATTGTGTTATATGTGTAGTGCCGTGAATTCACTCGGACAACAACCGTCTCTTTTTCCGCCGTCACTTTTATTCCATCGTTCCGTACACACAGTAATTCTCTCCGTGCTCCGCCAACTCGGACACTCCAATTTACTTCAGCATCGTCCGTGCATCCCCTTCCACACACAGTGTTCCTTCTATCTCTTCACACACAGTGTCTTCCCTTCCACACACAGTGGTCCGTCTTCTATCTCCTCACACACAGTATCGCCGCTATCTCTTCACACGCAGTGACTTCCCTTCCACACACAGTGGTTCGTCTTCTATCTCCTCACACACACAGTATCCTGTCTGTATATTCACACACAGTGACTCCATCTATCTATTCACGCACAGTGACTTCATCTATCTCCGCTAACGCTGACTCTCCCTATCGCTATTTACTGTCTTTGGGGTCCGGCTCTCTATCTATTCTTCCCTAACATTTCCAGCTGTCTTCTTCGTATCTCTTCACACTCTCGCCAACAACTGCCCAGCAATAACTCTCCAATAACAACTCCCCAGCAGCAACTCTACTCCGTTCAACCACCTCGCGTTTTATCCCCTCTCGCATTAGCCTTAATTAATTGCCACGTTCCGCCAGCTCGCACCTGTCCCCTCCATCAGACATCCAGACGCCACCACTTAGCACTAACAGCCTCTAGACCAATCACAGCCCTCGTGCCACGACTCCCTTAATTACTTCCGGTTGTTACGCCAACCCGCGACTCGACCACCTGTTCGACCTCATGTGACCCGTTTCTCCTTGTCCGTCTGTATGTACTGTATATGGCCAATTCCTATGCGTATTGTTTACTCCACTACATATGGTACATTATTGCGTTGTGTAGAGGTGATTCGTAATGGCCGGCTTGGTGCTGTTCGCGTCCTCATGTGTCGTGGGGCTCCTCGTCATCATCGGTCTCGTCCTGTTCGTCACACGGAGAAGCCAGTGAGTGAGGCTCACCATTCTTCGCCATTGCTTTACCACACTGATCCGCTCATCACCACTACTCAATCGCAACACCTTATTGCTCCTCACAGTTACCACTCCGCTCCAATAAAACACTCGCGATGCTTTGCCATTACCACACTCGGCACTCTGCAACACTGCACACTCACCACGCTTTACCATTATACACTAACCAAACCACACCACGACATTTTGTATTAAACCTCATTCACACCATTGCACACCTTGCTACACCTAAAAAAATCATACCATACCTAACCACTGTTCACCTCAGCAATTCACATATTTCCACCCCATTACACACCTCATCATTACACATTCCATAAAACTTATAATAAAAACTAATAAGTACCATGGCCTAATCTTCTTCTATATATATGAAGAGGAGTCGGAGACTGGTTTAAGCACTTTTTTATTTCTCCAACGCACAACAACACCCGTTCCAAAACCAACCCCGAACACGCGTCTCGCAGCCCCTTTTAACCCCTCCATCTCCGTGCTCGCTCCCAATACACATCCACGTCTGGCACGCCTGGTCCGGGGTGACGCTATGGCCCTTTATCCCCTGACCCCCGTCCAGCGCATTCCCGTGCGTGTGATTGGTGCGTGTTTTAGTGAGAGCGGAGATTTCGTGTCTGAGTGGTGCGTGTGCGTGAGGGTGGCTCGCAGATCCTTTACATCTATAAAAGTCCAAAAATTGTCTGTGGGTTTGTGTGTGGCTTTGTGCTTGTTTCGCGCGCTTGCGAACGATTTCGCTCTCCAACGGTGGGTTTACGTTAAATAAAATAGCCAGGTACCTTGCCGTAAGCCCTGCCGTGAGCAAGCGCTATTCCTTTTCACATCCGTCAACTTTAGATTAGTTTAATTTGCGATTTAGTGAGATTTTTGCGTGCTACCTCTTTATTTTTTTTATCTATTACGCGTGCATGCGCCTTTGGTGGGGGGGACGGCCCAGGCCAAGTCGCACGCCTTCGGTGAGGGTAAGGGGGACATTTTATTTTGCGTTAAAAATGCTATTGAAATACACTAAACGCTCAGGTAAATTATATTCTTGGTTCTTTCAGTAAAGACTTTCGGTAAAGACTTTACTGAAAGAACCAAGAATATGAATTCCTGCAGTCACGAAAGCTTTAAATCAAAATTTAGCTCAGGTAAATTCTTCACTGTGTGATGTCCCCCTCACCCCGATGTGTGCAGTTACTACTATACAGTTGGTAGATGCTACCACTATAGGCCGTAGATATTATTGCAGAGCGGCCGGGGAGATCGTGGCTAGGGGGGGGGGGGTCAGGGGTAGCAGCCCAGCCCCAGCCTGCCAAGGTGCCACCTCGGCCAGCTGGACAATCTAGGCGAGGCCGAAGGCTCTCCATGGGACTAGGCCTCACCACGCCACTCCGTCAGGTGATTACTTTGTGCTATAGAGTCGATAAATACTGCTATAGAGTCAGCATGTACTACTGTAGTGATAGCAGGTACCACCACAGTTGGTATGCACTGCTGTAATCATAGTAGGTACCACCACAGTCAGTACGCACTGCTGTTAGATTTTGAAGAGTACAGTAAAACCTTGGATTGCGAGCATAATTCGTTCCAGAAACGTGTTTGTAATCCAAAGCACTCGTATATCAAAGCACTCGTATATCAGTTGTGATCACGTGACGCTTGCCAGACAAAGCATATACGTACTACTCGTATTGCAAGACCTCGCTCGTTTATCAAATTAATATTTATTTAAAATGTTTGCTCGTCTTGCAAAACACTCGCAGACCAAGTTACTCGCAATCCAAGGTTTTACTTTAGTTTGGAAATATTTTTTTGGCCCGGGCAATGCCGGGGGTATATAAGCTAGTGGGCTATAAAACTGGTAGCACACCCCCTCCTGTCCCTAATGCCTGAACTCTATCTCTAGCCCCTCTCCTCATTCCTGGCCTTGCTCCGTTCCCCCCACTCAATACCCACATGCCCCCCCCACCTCAATGCCCCTCCACCTTCCCAACCCATCAATGCCATCTGCCCCCCCCCCCCCCCAGGCACCCAGGAGAGCCTCCTCTTGATAAAGGCCTCATCCCATGGCTGGGTCATGCCATCGAGTTCCGGAGAAACATGTACACCTTCCTGCGGCGCATGCAGCGCAAGCACGGAGACACCTTCACGGTCAGCAACAGCAGCAGTGGGGGACAGTGGGAACAAATAAACGTGGAACAAATAAACAGGATATATGATAATGAAATAGGGCAGATCAACATACAAGTACATTGTAGTGAGTGCTGTATTATTATGCAATTTACACAAACAGGGAGTTTATTGTCACAAGAAGACTTGCAGATCTCCTCAGGCATCTTATTTATGAAGAGGATGTCCTAGGAAATCCAGGACAGGTGACAACCATAGTGGGGGTAAATAACCTCTAATATCTCCATACACAAACTCTCCTAGGCCTAGGTTACAAAGCCAAAAAGTACAAAATTCATTTTTAAAATGTGGGGGCCACTAATTTTGACATTTTGGTTTTAAAATTAGTTTTTACTTTTTCATTCCAGTCAATTCGATGCCTCTAACTTGCACATGTTATCTGATTCATATATCCCTCTGTCTCTCAGTATAATTCCAAGCATGCACCTCCTCTCCCGTGATTTTCTGTAGCCCCTTCTTTTGTTGAACTTTCTTTGTCAAATCTGGTTGTTTTATTCCTTAAGCACATTGATTGTTTTCATTAAGTTTAGTTTTTCAAAAGAATTGCAACCTACTCTTGTCCACCTCTTTATTTCATCCTTTAATCCCGGTCAGCCTTCACATAAACCCTGATGTCTATTCCAGTTGTGTTCCTCCAACACAAATCTTTATTTGTTTGTTCAACTCTACTTGTTTTTTTTCCATACTTATCTTGAGCCCCATTTTGCAACCTTTTTAAATTGTGTTGCCCCTCACACCAACATGTCATGACCAAGTGTGGACTCAAATTCTAAACTGTGAATAACTAAATAAGATCCATACTAAAACCTGAATAGAATTACATAGGTTGTCTTCAACTAGACTAAGACTGTGACTAATATAAAATGTGCTGAATAAATTCATCCTACTGTGTACGTGTGTGCACTTGAAATTGTGCATGCCAATCATGTGCGTCTGTGCTTGGCACAAGCACCATGGTGATGTCACCGCCACTTAGAGGCAAATGGGCAGCGGTTGTTTATTGTTGTAACTTAGTGGATAGCACATATCACTACAAACTCAGTGAAGATTGTTTTATTTCAACTCATGGCCAACATCAGTGGTAAATATGAGCCTCCCCTAGGTCAACTCAGCTATAATTTCACATCTGTGCGGTGTGTAAACATCAGCAATGGTTCAACAAAAGGCAGCCAGGCACGGCGCTGGCAACATCACCACCTTGCGCACCCTGACGTCCTCCGCCAACCTCCTGTTCTTTGGGTTCAAGGATGATGTCGACAATCGTCGGCTGTTCTTCGAAGTCTGCATGTGGCTGCATTGATCAATTTGGGAGACACAGCACTTGTCACTTAATGCAGAGCCACGTGGGTAGTTGGGCTGATCGAGATCGACGCTATCTTCCTTCCTGGTGCTACATCTCCTACTCTGCAACGAGATTCTTTTCAAATTTTCGGACGCCATTTTTAATGGCGTGGTGACACAGACTACTCGCTAACAGCACTCGTTTCAGCAGCCTGCGTAGGCCATACGCGGGATCTTTTCATTGTCTCTGTGTGTCTCCCCTGCACCGCCGCAGGTGTGCTTGGGCGGGAAGTACATCACGTTCATGCTGGACCCACACGATATGGCGGCCGTGGCGCGCGAACCACGCTCCGCGCTTGACTTCAAAGCATTTGCACGCCAGCTCGTCTTGGTCGTCTTTGGCGTAAACATCAAGGTCGAGTACCATACGGCCACCAGCGCCCACAACGTTAGGTGCGGCACCTCAAGCTACAGCTCGCACCAAAGCTCACTCGTGATCCTTTTAACTCTGGCGCAGAGTGGGCAGTGGTAACACACGCTTGTGTTGTACTATTGAGTGTGGTGCATATTCCAGTCGCCTCAGGCAATCAAACCAGGGCACCTGGGTATGTACGCTGACCTGCCAGCAAGCCTTCGACACATCACCGTGGCCTCAAGGTGCAACTAGCCTGGCTCATGCACCATGGTGATGTCACCGCCACTTTGTGGCGAATGGCGGTTGTTGGTGTGCTCTTGTGTGTGCTCATGTGGGGAGCTCTAGTGTAGTGGGTAGCCCACTGACCTGGGTTTACTTGCCACTAACGGCCAACATCCGTGACGAATATCTGTTGGAGCCCTCCCCGGGGTCGACTGAGCCATAAATTAGTCCTTGGTATGGTATGGAGACAAAGTCAGCCAAGTTATGGGATGATGAAACACTCCCTTGCTCCAACAGCTGCACAGGGGACCGTTGTGCGCTCGCGTGTGCATGGTCGCGTGTGCGTGTCGCCCCGCAGCCACTTGCAGGGCGACGGGCTGGTCGCCTTGACAGACGCCATGATGTCCCAGCTGCACCTGCTCATGGGGCCAGGTTCATTCAATGAAGGAAACGGTCGTGGGGGGTGCGGGGGGCACGGGGACGCTAAGTGGCATGAATCCGGTCTCTTTGACTTCTGCTATGGCATCGTGTTCAGGTATGCTACACTGAGTTCTGCTCCTCTTCTTGTGCTCCCCTCTTGCTATTTTCCCTCCGTTGTTTTCATTGTGATTTTCAACATCGTTATTGCCATCGTCATTATCTTCATCATTGTGGTTATCATCGTTATTGAGTAATGCCTGTCCATGCTGCACGTAGAGCCGGCTACCTGGCTTTGTTTGGCCAGGAACCGGGCGGGCCGGCAAGGCAGACCACACACTCCCTGGAGGTGTTCAAGGAGTTCCGCAAGTACGATCAGCTGTTCCCCGCCATCGCCACGTCCACGCTCTGGCCCGGTATGACACAATATTCATGATGCACGTCTCAAGTATCTTTTATAACTGCAGTGCCCGGAGAACACCCACGAGCACGAGTGGATCATCGTCGGTGCTGGGGTGGTGCCACAGGCCTACAGAGATTTTATAAATTGTCACGAATGTGAGGTCAGCATTCGACTAAAAAAAAAAATGTGTCCCTTTTGTGTTTTCTGTCATGCATGTTTGTCTCGTATGGCCCATTGTCATAACTCTAACTGCCCAGCAAGCTACTCATCTGTTCAACAATCCGGTTACTCAACCACCCGCTCATTCACCCACCCGCTCACCTACCCATTCACCCGCTCAACTACCCGCTTACCCACCTGCTTACCCACATGATTAGCCACTTACACATCCGCTCTCCCACACCCTTACACACTCACTCCCCACGTGCTCACCTGCTCATCCATTTACTCACCCACTGGCTCACTCACCCACCCACTTAACTGCTTGACCGTCCTCTTGTTCCCCAGCTCACTTGTCCCTCTATCTCTCCCTCCCCCCTCCCTACACATCCCCACCCCCCCCCCAATTCTCTCCTAGGCTCAGCCCAGCGGAAGGAAGCAGACCGACTCAAGTCGTGGTTCTGGGAGCACTTGACGGTGTCGCTGCTGCGTGTGCGTGAGCACGTCAGCCCCTGGATCTTGGGCCGCGACGAAAAGCTTGTCGAGCTGCAGGCCGACAAAGAGACCCGGGATCGCACCTTGTTCATGCTGCTCTGGGCCTCTCAGGTAAGGCCCCTGAATCAGCCCTGCAGCAGAGCCTTATGCAAAGTGACAGACGCTTGTGTTGCACCCAAAACGTCGTGATTTATTTTATACCTACGTGACTTTGCCGAAAGAACCAAAGAGTATGGGGGGGGGGGGGTGTTGATCTACAAAACTCACAACACTGTTCATGTTTAAACAGGCTTTTTTAAAATTGTTAAACACTAAAAAGAATGAGTAACTATGCGATTTGCTTTTGTCTTAAATTATAAAAAGCAAACTGCATCTCCCTTGAATGTGAGCTTCCGTACATCCCGGACCAGCCAGCAAAACTTGTTATCTTGTATTGAGCCCTCTCTCCACCTTCCTCTTGCCTTCCTCTGTACTATATATCCCAGTTTATCTCTCTTTCTCGATTTGCTACGTTGTTCATTCCTCTCCCTTTTTCTACCTCTCCCTCCCTCCCTCTATATTCTCCTCTCTTCCACTATATCGTCCCTACCCCTATCTCTCTGTTTATCTCACTCTCATTATTCCAACTTCTCCCTTTCCCATCTCAATCTCTCTTGCCTCTCCCGAATCATCTCACTGCCTGTCGTCTTCCCTCGCCCTAATTTTTTTTTTGCCCTCTTTTACCTCTCCGTTTCACACCCTTTCACTCTCTCCCTGCCCTTCTCCTCTCCGTTCCTCTCCATCTCTTCCTCCCTCCTCTATCATCCTCCCTCACCTCCTGCTATCTCTCCTCTATCGCATGCGGGAGATACACGGCCAGGCTGAAGGGTGGGAGGATGGGGGGGGAGAGCCATGATGTCAGCACAACACACAAACCCGACTCAACACTGTGGGATCATCACGCAGATCTGCATGATGATGTCACCTCTGCGCATGCGCGCTTGCTTGTGTGCCAGGAATCCAGCCAGAAAAACTTTTATCTAATACATACGGTGCGAAAGAAGTTCAACATACGTACGCCAATTTGGCTAATTTTGCTTAAAGTGCCGACATACCCATAACTACACATGCGAAAGTACGCATTGGTTTAATACGTTTTTACTTGACTTTAACAATTTACCTTGGCAAGGCAGGAGGTGGCGCCCTTAATACGCACGAATAGTGATGGAATTTTATGAAATTGTTTGATCTACCAACCTGGCCTCCAAAGTGCAGGCGGGCAGCAAAGCGACCACAGGCTGGGATGTCCCCCATGTGACCAGGGTAACACGGGCCCCGCGGCGTTCTGGACGCTGGCGTATCTGATGAAGCACGCGGACGCCATGGCTGCCGTGCGCGCCGAGGTGCAGCAGCTGCTGGAGGCGACGGGGCAGAGCGACGGCGCGGAGACGCGAGAGATCTCGCTGACGCGCGACGTGCTCGTCAACACGCCCGTGCTTGGTGTGTCTACGCACGTGCCCACTCACCTGCTCACTCGCTTACTCGGCCACCTGCCCACCCACTCGCCTATCCGCTTAATCTAATACTCACAGAGATCCCCACCCCGCTGTATAGCCTTTAACAAACTTTTCGGGCAAGTGCGATTGGCCAACAACTATGAAGTCCAACAGAGTATACGAGGAGGTGGGTGGCAAGCATCACGACTGTCCACCTTTGTTACCGAAATGCTGACATTTGCACACTGCATCAGGTACTCATTTTAGACTGAGTCGATAGAGGGGAGGTCGAGAACCAGTTTCAGATATTTATCACCAATGTTTGCCGCGAGCGGGTATCAAACTCGGTTCGCCGGGTTCATAGCACAGTGCGCCAACTACTGCTCAAACGCTCCCCACATGCATCATGACTTGGCATCATGACTCCTCCTTACCCCTCGCCCCTCTCCCATGCAGACAGCGTGATTGAGGAGATGCTGCGCCTTCGCTCGGCTCCCATCCTGTGCGTGCCGTCCAGCAGGACATGACGCTGCAGGTTCCAGGCGCCAGCGGGCCGGGCACCAAGCTCCGCGCCGGTGATCGCCTCGCCATGTTCCCTCACCTGAGCCCCCACATGGACCCCGAGGTCCACGCGGATCCCGAGGTGGGGGAGGCTGCTGTCCGTGCGTGTCTGTCGTAGAGGCCAGGGCAAGTGCTCCGGTCTCCGCCCACCTGAAGAAAAACACTCGTTAAGATGGAATGGTCAATTAGGTGGCAGTACAGCAAATAATCATAGTAACAATATTGTAGTTATACTGTGTTGGGAGGTTTTTTCTGGTTTTCTCCAGACTCCTCCCACACAGTCCCACAAGCTGAACAAGTAATTTACTAAACAATTCCAAGCAGGATTGTGATATTCTTGCGACTGAGTGCATCGTTCATTTAAAAAAAAGGAGCACCTGATTAGGCCATCCTCTTGTTCCGCTCTGCCCTATGGCAACCGCCTTGCAGCTCACCTGCCCATCTGTGACGCGT